TAGTGTTTATTATTTTTGTTATCAATTCACAAGAATAAAGAAAATGTATAAATTCATTTTCATATGTTTAGGTTTTATTACAGTTCTAATCATTGCTTTTTGAAACAATAAACATTGACGAGGAGTGAAAGTAGTTAAAATAATAGCAGTACCAATGGAAAAAGTGTCCTTTTTTTCTGGGAACGAAAGTACCAATTTGCCAAGAACTCTTTAGAAGTCAACACTTTTTCTTGACAGTACATAGCAGAATGTTACACTATATAGTACAAGCTATACTGAACTCTTCAAAACTCTTTATATTGGTAAAGTCAACCATAAGTTCTCATTCCAAGTATTCTAATAGTTTCTTCATTTGCACTCCTTGCTTTCCTGTTAACTACAATCTATAAAAATTTAAATGCAATATCAATTGCCATGTTTTTTATCTTCTCAGTTTTCTTCATTCTGTTGTCTTTCATCCACAGTAAGCCCCCAGTGTCTTAGTGGCTGTATTGCCTTGCGTGGGGGAGAAATGATTAAAAAAAAAATTGAGAAGAACACTGAAACCTGCTGTTACATCTAAAGTGTAAAAATATTCAGATATATAGAAGTCAGTTTGTCATTGTATTGTAGTCCCTCTTTATCTGCAGGAGATGTGTTCTTAGATTCCCAGAAGACGCCTAACATTATCATCAGTCCCTTGACTGCTTCAAAGGACAGAAGAAACAGACAATCCGTTCCAGGATGATCTGTTGGTAGTGACACTCAGTAGTTCTGGCAATGTCATGTATGTCCACTCTTCAATATTGTCTGACCAACTTTTGCATTGTCATCCCCACTTGTGTCCACTTTCAACAGTGCTTTGCATGATGGTCTTGAAGAGGCTGTTATGTTGTGTGATGTGGCCAAACCATGACATCTTTCAATGCTTAATAGTGGCAAGAAGAGATTCCTGTTGGCCCACAAGACTTTTGGCCTTACTCCATACATAGTCATTGGTTTTGTGCTCCCAATAGGAGATGTAGAGGAGCTTTCTCAAGCATTTGTTCTTGAACACCTGGATCTTTTTTTCTGCCTCAATCAGGAGTATTCAATTCTCACATCTGTAGAGGGGGATGGATATTATCAGCAATTTGTAGAGCTCAAAATTGGTCTGGAAGCTGATGTTGCTTTTCCATATACTTTCCAGTCTAGCCATTGTTGCTGTGGTGATCAGTGTGCAGATTTCTATGTTGCAGGTGCCATCTTTTGATAGGGTTACTCCCAAGTATTTGAAGCTGGACACTTCCTCCAGTGGTTCGCTGTCCATGGTGATCCAAGCACTAGTGTTGCTTGTTAATATTTACCATTACTTTGGATTTCTCTGTATTTAGTTTCATTTAGTATTATCCATTAATGCCTATGGACAGTACTAAACCCTATATATACATTTATTCCTATACATACCTGTGATAACTGACAGATTAGTTTTCCACAGTTTATCAATCTTTTGCAGGTTATTTAAATCCAGAAAACATTTTTTGAGATTGTAAACTTTTTTTTTTGATATAATAATGATTTACTGAGACAAGTCTTATTAATTAAACCATAGCTAGGGAAGAAGAGATTAATTCATACCTTTGTTGGAAAATGAAATAAAATCAATAAAATAATGAATAATAAAAAAAAAAAAGAAATACATTTTCCCATGATGCTTATAGTAAAGAAACTGGAAATATGATTGCCCACTTGACTTGACTGTTAAGCAGTGCTTATAAAGTCTATAAGAAGACAAACATTTTCCATCCTTACTCTCTTTCATCTCCTTGCTCCAAGAAAAGCATGTGGAAAAAAGGGCAACCCCACTGGAGTGTGTTTGTTTCCCCCGATCAACTGAATTCTGAACTCTCTCTTTCCACTTTTCTGTGCATGTCTTCCAAAACCTTCACCTATGAAGTAAATCAACCTTTTTTTTTTTTTGATTGTTTCAACTCAATGTAATGGGAGACTTGAGCTCAACCATTGTAATGATACTTATTCTTACTCTAACTTCTGAACCAAGAAAAAGAAAAAAGACATCCCATGAACATGTTTAAACCTAACAATAACGTAAGTACAAATTTTTTTTTGGTCGTTCCAACTCAGCAGAAGACTGACTTGAGCTCATCCATTAATATGATGCTTATACTTGCTTATCCTAACTTCTGGACCAAAAAAGAAAATGGACATACTCAAGAGACATTGAGAACTTTGTTTCAATACAGTTTATATAAAAAAGAGAATGAACAATCTGTAGTAGAAACCCAAATTTTTGTTGCTTCTCTTTACCTGAGTACATGCCTCTATCTAAAATAGACACACAACCTTTAAATACCATAATTGGTAACCCCAACATTTAAAAGAAGCATATCTATACACCATAGTAACTACCATGCAAAATAGCACACCAAATGAACAAACTTACTCGTAATATTCAACAGAAGTAAAAAAAAAACGAAAATATATATTATTACAATTACTACTACTTCTACTTAAACCTTTTCTCTCAATCAACAGGTAAGTGATGCTCTCTTCATCATTTTCTACTATTTATTCTATTTTTTCTCACATTAACACCTGACCTTTTCACCTTCTTACTTCCTTTGCAACCACAGCTATCACCACCACTAATGGACCATTGTGTTTATTCTATCACCAGCAGATCTAACAAAATTCAAACACGACTACTACCCTTTGTCTCTTAGTGTCAAATCTAAAAACTAACTGAAGAAAAATTAATGACACCAGCAGAAATTACTCATATTAAAAAAAAAAAGTTCACATTTGCACCCTGAAATATAACAGATGATGGTAAAAATGCAACATTTCAGTAAATCAACAATTAACTACAATTAAAAGCAGAATAAAATGCTCCCAACATTTCTACATGAAATGAGTTGCTCTCATTTATTTGAACAATGGCAATGTGACACCATGTGAAAATCTTCATTAAACACAAGCAGAGAAAAAAAAGATTATTTTCTTTAAAATAACCAAAAAATTCAAAGAAATTTTTTGACCTCATTTCTGGAAATGAAAATGTGCCCTTGAACAGACTGAAGTCTGTAACACAGTCAAGACTACCTCTAGCTGATTCAAACCCAAAACACCAACCACTATTTCACATAAATGCATTTGTAGAACACTGCGACTGGGCAGGAATATTTTGTGGGAAATTAAATAAAATCAATAAATAAAATAATAATAAAAATACATTTTCCCATGATGCTAAGAATAAAGGAAACAGAAATATGATTGCCCCACTTGACTTGTCAAACTCCCTTAAGCAGCGCTCATTAAGTCTATAAAAAGAATAACACTTTCCTTCCTTACTCTCTTTCTCCTCCTTGCTCCAAGACCAGCATGTGGGAAAAAACAACCCTGCTGGGGTGTGTATTTGTTTCCCCGTTCATTGACTACTGAAATCTGTTTCCTATGTATGGTATTCGCACGTGTCTTCCCAAACCTACACCTATGAAGTAAATGAACATTTTCTTTGGTTGTTCCAACTCAGCACAAGGCTGATTTGAGCTTGACCATTATAACCATGCCAACACTCCACCAATGAAGTAAAACTGTTTCAATACAGTTTATATAAAAAAAGAGAATAAATGGTCCATGAGAGAAAACCTCAAGCTCATGTTCATTGTTTACAAATATGCACCCATATAAAATATACACCAACACATCCAGCTTTTTAAATTCCATACCTTTCTCAAGGGTATTTGTGTGTAAGTGAATATAACAAACCCAACTGAAATTGGAACTCAGCTCTCCGATTAACAATTCCAAGCCATTATCCATTACACCACCTGCAAGTCCAAGTTTTACAAGTGATCACTCATCTAAGCACTGACCAGGCTCGACATTACTTAACCCTGGTGATCATACATGAACCTGATGTTTAAACATAATATGGGATTAAGCCCCAATGATACAGTTTAATTTATAAGTCAATTGCAATAAGAGATTAACAATAATAATTAATAAAAAAAATAGAAAAATTACAACAATAATTTGAAAAAAAAATTATATGATAGAAAATTTTTTCTTGATATTAACAATCTCAGAATATGATAAGTCAAGAGCTTAGCTTCTCACTTAAAAGGAAGCACATTTATGGTTTCTCTTTGGAATATCCAAATTTCCAGCATCAGGAATGTTATTAAATAAAACATCTGAATTGTTTATTTCTAGTGTTGACTGTTGTGGAAAATTAAATCATGGATAAGTGAGGACCACTGTAATTACTATATCAACACATCTAACCAATCAGTGAATGGATGACCTTGCCCATCCACTGCCTCAGATTTTGAAGAAAAATTCAATATCAAGAAGATAATTCAATATCAAGAAGATAATGGAAACAATAAAAATTCTTCCAAACTAGTTATCCAAATTTCATTGTGGTCATCCAAACTATTTAATTTACTATTCTTTCTGATTCTTTGAACTTATTAATACAGACATCTAGATAAACATTCATGAAATTATGCCAAAATACAGTTTCTTTTGCTGACAAGTCAACTAAACCATAATGGAAATGGAAGACAATTTTCATTACTCTTCTGACATCACTACAAACTTACATTTAACTTTTGTTACTTTATTACTTGTGAATAAAATTTTTTTATTGTTATTTTAATTAGTGTCTTGTTCATCTTTTTTTTTTTACAATCACCTCAGTTTATATGACTTGATACACTTTCCTTTACTTTATAATATGAGCAAACTACAAATTGGTGGCATTGCTGATGCCAACTTAGGATTGGCAGGGGTTGGGGGAGGGTTCCCAAATCTAATAAAGTAAATCTGATGAAAGAGTTCTAATAGGGGAAATAACTTGTATAAGAGAGAATATCTCTTCTTCAGTTGTGATTTGTGGTAATGGGTACTTGATATTGTATACGATAAGCTTATTTAGAAAAAAATGTACTGTTGGTTATTATAATAAAATAAGAAAAAATATTAAATAAAGATTTATTTGAAAATTTAGAAATGATTCATATTAATGCAGGTACAGTGGGGTCATCAATAAAATCTTCAGAATTCTCTCCATCTTCAGCTGACCATTTATTCTTTCCTTGCCAGCCAAATAGTTTTTTCTGTTGGCCTTTATTCTTTTCATTCACAATATTGCAATAATCAACTGACTTTGTACCATCTCCAACTTCCAATGGCTGAGGGCCAGTCCTATAAAATATTTTAAAAAGTATTTAATTTTAAAATCAAAAGCAATTGGCTACAAAAGTACATTCAAGATGGAGCTTGTTATACTTGCATTCAACAGATCATCAAAGTATGTTTACTAAACTGAGCCTAATGTCATGATAGTGAAACATCCAATGAAGATCAAACTTGTGATGAATATATTCTTAGACTATTTTTTCTCACTATTATTCTCTAATAATAATATGTGTGACACTGGGACCTCAGGGAATTAATTGGAAGAAAGAAAAAGGAAGAGACTACTGACTGGATGACAGTTGTTGAAATTTGCAGGAAAGTGGATTGAAAAATTGAGAAGAAAATTGAAAACAAAATGCATTGAAAAAATTGTTTTAAAATAATAGGATGAAATCTTGAACAGTTTCAAGGAGAATTGAACCCAAATTTAACTAGACAGAATTCAGTAAGATTGAGCAAAACCAAGACCACCCATTCTTCCCCATTTCCCACCAATAAGAAAGAGACAATTATCATTGAAGATGTCGGTCCTGGAAAATAGAAAAACATGTTGTCGATAAGGAAAACAGGTGGTCATTTAAATAGCATCTAAACTGTTCTGGACAAAGAGCCAGGAAAAACGTCTGGTTTGAATTGGTCACTCAGAAGAAAAAATATCCCAACAAAAATAAAGATTAGTACCTAAGATTGGGGACAGGTTTATTCATTTTAATTTCTGTGACATTTGTCAAAGCTTTTATAGCCAACATTATTTGTTATTTTGAAGACAAGTTTAGAGAGAAAAAATAATTACTACCCCTGGAGTGATAATAGGCAACCAGCTGTGTGGCTTGGTTGACTGAGAAACATATAAACAGAGAAAGATAGTATTTTTTAATTACCAAAGTTGTTAAAAATACTTTTTTCTTTTTCTTTCCTACCTATGATAACTGAAAATGAACAAAATAATTCTTGAGATTGGATCCAATTATCTTAGATATGGTCAAGTTCCTGGCTTTGGGAAATCACCTAAAACAACCAGCATGAGACAAACTGATGAAGAAAAATTAATTACTGGAAATCCTCTTTTTGCCTACACATTCTAAAAGTTTAGATTCATCTAAAAGACAGTTGTACCAACCCTTGGAGTAGGTTGAGATTGGATGCTTAGAAGGTGGAAGAAGGGAGAGAAAGATTATCACTGCCTATGTAGAGCAATGGTGAGAGATGGAAGTGAAGGGAGTTTAGAGTTAAGGGGCAGCTTGATTCCTCTGACCACTCTCAAAAGGGGGATGGACAACCCCTAAATTTGGAAAATTACTCAAGTAAACATATTTTGAAAGTAGGGGATTTTAGAAAAAGTTTAAAGCCAGATGGAAGACTCTATATAAGCCGGAGGTTTGGATAATAAGTGAAGAATCACTGCTACTGGAATCCGCATTATTCAACATGAAGGATTGTGAAGGAGACAAACACCAGCTAGATTGAGTGGAACCATGCTCATCATTACAATACTAGTGACAAATCAGCAACGTTTTAATGAGTGAGGCATCAACTAAATAGTAACCATTGTAGTCTGAAAACCAACGTGGCAGAGAGGGAGTTACATATGAATATAATATGAATATGTTTGTAGTAAGTTGTGAAACAGACAATAACTCCCTTCACCCTTTAAATTTGAAGGACTGAGGAAGAAGGAAAGGAATTCGCAAGCCTATGGGAAATTGTTTTGGACCAATGAAAACCTTGCTTTCACAGAAATTAACCAGTGAGCGGAAAAGAAGAAAGGAAAAAGTAGCAAGACTATGTGAAATTTCTTTTGATATAAAATGAAAAGAAAAATGAATCAAAGAATGTCTGAAGTTATGTGAAAGGTTTTGTTTCAGTTCCTTGCGACCAATGTCGAAGTACTTGCCAGCATAAAATTATTTGCCAATTATATTATCAGCCTCTAACTAGCACACAGCACTTCAAAGAATTTTCTCTCAAAAGTCCAAAAAAGCTAAGTATTTCAAACTATCTCTCTTTGTATAGTTTTGAACATATGCAAACAATATACCCATTTGTTAAGGAACAAACTCTCTTAACAGTTTTAAACATTTTTTAATATTATTTTGTGTCAGATCATTTCCTCTTCATGACAATACGTAAAACTATGGACTTTAAGAATTCTGATTTATTTTTTGAAACGAACTACCTGACACAACTTCAAGCTTGTAAATTTGTGAATAATTATTTTGTTAAGATTACCCATGTGTTTCTTTGTTATTATTATCCTTTATTAATCTTCTTGGCATGGGTAAATCAACTGTTCATTTTAATCCCTAAACCCAATGCAACTATATGTTCACTATATACATCAAAATAGCTAGCTTGATTTTCATAACAAATCAATATCAACATTCATATTAATCTTGTATTATATTGCATATAAATGTGGATATTTTGTTGTTGGGTAAGAGTTAACAAACTATATTTGTAAACCAGTATGCTGTGTTTTTATATTCCAACTTCACTAGGTATCTGACACACTAAATCTTAATACTACTAAGTGCTTCACTATGCCATAGTGCAATGGTTATTGTAACTAGATTAGTGCATCATTGCTACTGCATAGAGAGTTTGATCTTCACTGAGTGCCCTACACAAATTTCCTTGTGTCTGATTAAGCAAAGCTTAGTAAATATTTATACCAGTTGTAGATCATATATATGCTTTCTTGTAATTTTATGGTAATTCAAGTTAAGCAAACATTATAACATTTAACTTACAGTTTAAATATATATATATATATATTATACAGAATGTTCAGGCTAAATTTGACAGTTTTTTTTTAAAGGAAAACAAAGGGAATATCTAAGCCATAAATCAATTTATTGGAAAAATAGAAAAGTGACATACAGGTTATTATAAGCAAAAAACAATTCACTCAAAGATACCACCCTTAGAATTTACCATGGCTTTGATCTGACTCCGGAATCTGGCACATGCACCATTCACAGTGTCCCTAGGGAGAGCCACAAATGTCTCTTTAATCTTGTTGATCAGCTGGGCCTTAACATTACAGGCAATGCAGTTGGTATCTTTCTCAACTGTGCCCCACACATAATCCATGGGATTACAATCAGGGGAGTTAGGTGGCCAGCCACTGGGACTGTTAAAGTCTTAAAAATTATCTGACAGCCATTTTTGACTTTTCCTGGAGATGTAGCAAGGAGCTGAATCTTAGCCTGAACACCCTATACGTCTCCAGGTAAAATGAGAACAACTGCAGTATGATTCCACTCTATGTAAGATTTAATTTAAAAGACGACTGAATACATATTAGAGCTAAATATTATTGATTTTAGGATATTAAAACATTAAAAATCACTACACAATTACAATTGTTTCAACACTATAAATATATTTCTTCAGGTAATGTTAAACTACTGGTCACTAGTTTGACATCACCTGAGGAGACACATTTATGGTGTTGAAACATAATTGTAATAGTGTAGTGATTTTTAACATGTTTTAATATCCTAAAATTAATAATATATAGATATATATATAGTACTTTATTTACAGTACTTTTAGGTAAATGAATAGCAAAATGGAAAAAATAGTGTGTAACACATTTTGTCCTCTAGAAGAAGGGTGTCATCTGACTAAAACATGCTTTTGTTGATGGAATTATATATTATTTACACTATTTATATTCACATTATTTTTCTCATCTTTGTTGTTGTTATCACAAAGCCAACAGCAAAATGAGGACAATAATCCAAATTATAAATAGTGTAAATAATGATAGCTCCTCATTCCAGAAGTTCAGACAGGAATTATATATGTGGGTTTTTTACTTAAAGAATTTGAACCTTTTAAGTTTATCATATTTAGTCTTTTTTAAAATAGTTCTTTACCCATTTTTTAAAATATAGACAACTGATTAAGAAATGAATTATTGATAATTGATGTTTCATTAAACAATTTAATTAAAATCAAAGTCAAAACAATAATATTTTAAAAGTTTAAATTTTAAATTAGCTTTAATAAATTTTAAAATTTAAAACTTCAGATTAAGTTTAAATTAATAAAAGTTAATAATTTGAAAGCTTTAATTTTAATTTGTTCTATATCATCTTTCCTTTATTCAATTTAAAAAAAATAATAACTGATGATTGATTTTAAAAAAAACTTAATAATTGATAATTAATTTTTCATTGTTTAACTTTAATAAAAATCAAATTGAAGAATCAATCAAATTCTACACTGGCAAAAATAAGCAGAGAAAGGTTCTAATTTCTATCCTATTAACAACATCCATCCAGAGAAAATAAGTATGAGGGAAATTATTGTAAGTATGAGGGAAATTATTGTAAACAAAAATGCCCTATTTTAATTTTAAATGAAAAGAATTGAAAGAACAAAGATTTTTACTTGTGATTTGGGTGAATTTCCTTTTCATTTGTAGTTTGTTGAGGTTTCTTTTTCTTATACAGAATTGGCTTCATCTGAAATGTTTAAATAAAACAGTTCGAATATTTGTTACCAAATTTGACATTCGTCTTATTTTTTAGTATTTTGTATTGCAACTTTGCTCGGGTTATCATTCCACAGCAATGAGTGGACAGGATTGAAAATGAAGAATAAACTCTCAGCCAAAGTCAGTAGAAAGTGACTAAAAAATTGAAGGTACAGTTGGTTTTATCGTTTCAAACGGTTTTTTTTACACTGACTTATCTCCCTTACATTGGATGTAAACTGATAGACAGATCGAGACATCTATCATGAAATTTAAATTTTTATTTCATTATTCCAAAGTTTTAGCACATCAGCAGATAGCTATTAATGCCAACAACTGAGCCCAAATAGTTATTAATTAAATAAATTAGTAATTAATGTATAATATTATCCATAACTACATGTACAAGAATGTCATTTTTGATAAAAGTTAAAAAATAACCATAAATGTGTTGGAGTTAGCTCCTCCTTAATTCCCTAATTGTTCACTAGGGGTCGCTCTCCCTACACTATAAATACTGGGCAATTCTTGCCTCATTCTCTTTTCTACTTTGCATTTCAGTGGACACACTTAAAAATGTAATCTCTCGTAGAAATTGGCGTTTTCGCCCACTTATGGGAAAATGCATGAAACACACATACATGTACATATGAACATTCACCTAAATACAAACTCTTTACGTTCACACACAAACACAAATGTTAATGCCTTTGTCGCTTGTAAATTTGTTGTTTAATACATATATTTGTTGACATGTATATATTGGTCTTGTTTGTCTTCTTTAAATCTTCAGTTGGACTCAACTTGAGTCCGCCATTTTCTTGTAGTTGGACCTTCTTCTAGCAGGAATAAACAGCATGTGTTCCTAATTAAACAACTCACAAACCCACACGGTCCTCTACAAATGCGTATATTGTCAAAGATTCCTTTTTCCACAATATAGCTATTTGTGCTATGTTATAGTGCTTATTACCTAAACAATAATATTGAATAATTTTTTTTAAACATAAATGTATATTTAATTACATCTCCCTAATACCTGTTATGATCTGTGAATACAACTCATATTCTGATCTTTCTGTTGAATATAAAAACTTACACAATTGAAATGAACAAAAAATGCAATATAATTTATTTTAACTATTTTTTCCATAATTAATGAGATTTATTTAACATTTGCAAACAATAAGACTTGAAATTTAAAAAAAAAAAAAATTTAAATAAAAAAGGCCTGACCTACCTGCACTTATAATAAAACAAAAAAATACTATCTGAAATTCTATTAGGGATATAGATCAGTGTTTTGTATATAAAACTCGTTTGAAATGCTAAAACCATCAATATTCAGAATTGGGATGAAAGTGAAAAGTAGTTAAAATTAATTATAAAAAATTTAATTGTGTTTCATCTAATAAAAATAAAATATAATACTGCTGCAATGCAAGGTATTGCTAAAATTTTTTTTAGACTGACCAAATTCCCAAAATCTGACCAAATGACTAAGTATCAGACTTTATTTTTTGAATCTCTTTTGGGTTGGGTCAAGAATTTTTCAGCACACCCTTTACTTTTAATGTAAAGGAAACAAATATGATGCTGAGAGAGGTTGGAGATTGCAGCCTGGGCTTAAAAGATCAGATTTAATCTTCCTCAAATTGTTATACTCTTCTGAATCAATTAGAGCATCTAAGGGATATGAGTTTGTGCCTTGCCAAGGATTTTGCCTTTACTTGCATACTGTGGAAAAATGCCTGAGTAAAGTTACAATGAAAAGCAACTAAAACCACTGAGGTAAAACAGGCTCTTATCGATAATTACAATTACCTAATGCTACTAAATGTACAGAAGACTAAATGATTAAACATTACCCATCAACTAATGGTGTCAGTCACTGCAAAAGTTAATGAGATCAGTCCTGAAAGTATCAAGACATTTTGAATACCCAAAAAATCAGTTGTGTGGATTTAATTCAGCAACCAATCAGAAATAGACTTTACAGTGCATTTGGATACACTCCTATGTGATTACATAGTGATTTTCCAAGCTATGCTTGGATGTGGCACAAGGCCAAAAGTAAGGGGCACCCAGTGAATTTGAATTCACTACTCAGTCGTAATTGTTCTAGTGAGACAAGCTTGCTAATGATTACACCACCTTGAGGTGCCCAAATATTGATTTTCTAAGCGAGGCGTAGATGTGGCACATGGTCGAAAATATGGGGCACCCAGTGAGGATTGAACTCACTATTTAGTTGTAACAGTTTTTGCAAGATCAGCTTGCTAACCATTACACCACGCTGAGGTGCCCATCCTATGTGATTACATAATAGACAGTGAGATACCAGCAAGTGATTTGGATTGATCGATTCATTTTTTTATAGCTTATCAGCTTTTTGCAGGTTATTTAAAGACAGAAAATATCTTTAGATTGTAAGAATTTTTTTTGAGATAATAATGATTTAGTGTCTTACTAATTAAGCCATAGTTAAGAGGAGAAGAGCTGGATTCATACCGTTCCCAATTGTTTACATACAAACATGCATCCACATAAAATATACACCAACAAGCCCAACTTTTTAAATTCCACTTTTCCAAGGGTTTTTGCATGTAAGTGAATATAACAAAACCAACTGAAATTGGAACTCAGCTCCCCAATTAACAATTCTGAGCCATTATCCATTTACACCACTGAACTGTAAGCGTTCTCAAAGCAAATTTGTTCAGGAAAATAACTCACTCTCCAACAAACGCTGTAGCCAAAAATGCCCGAATTTTCCTTCCATTCAACCACAGACTGTCCACTAGTATCACCACTGAATTCGGGGATCAGTTTTATATTGAACGGTCTTTCCGCCATCTTGCGAGAGACAAAGTAAATGCCGAAATAGCTTCTCTGGAGCGGGGTACCTGATTATCTCATTCACTACAACCACCCACACATCCAAGGTTACGGCACTTAGCATTCCCAAGTAATCACCCATCTAGGTACTGACCAGGCTTGACATTGCTTAACCTCAGTGATTGTATGGGAACTGGTGTTTCAACATGATGTAGCTGTAAGCATTCACAATTACTGAGCTTGCTTATTCTTCACATTTTGTGCAGGGTTTCTTTTTTGGCAGAATGTCTCACCATCTAAGTCTCTCATCTCGACATTACAGTCCAGATTTGCCTCTTTATGACTTTTAGTTTTTCCCATAGCTGAAATTACCTTTGAAATGTGGATGAAATTAAGACGAATGAAATGAGGCAGCTGTTGGTGACTTTGAAAGTGGGCTTGGTTGCCTTTCTTTCCTTTTTCTTTTTTTTAAAGTTGAAGAGATGCTGAAACAAATATGTTTGGTCCCAAAGACAGTATTTTGAAGAGAACTAAGGCAATATTGCCCAAGGAATGTTATTTGTCAATATTAAATGTTTGGATACTTATGACTTATTTGATGTGGGCTAAGGGCATAGCATCAAACTACCATATTGATCAATATATTTATCATCCACAAATGCAGAATTAATGTGCATATCAATATCATAGATAGTATAAGATTATAATAAAAAAAAAAATTTCTAAAATAATATAAATGAATAAAAATAATGACACACCTTAGGCATTGTAATTAGGAGATTGCCTGTTACCTGTGACCTCTTGGCATAGCTACTGTCCGTGTTGACTTCCTCATTTAAGCCAAGTTGGAATATCTGTGTGAAGCAATGCAATAAAAGAAAATCTAGTTATACAAATGTCTCAACTGAAGTTCCTTAAGTTAAAAGAAATATCAACTAAAAATGTCTATATAAAAAAACAAAAATTACAGATAAAAACAATGTTAACATACATATAAGACAAAGTACATCCTTTTCTGACTGCAAGCAATTAATAACTTAAGAGTTTTTTATTCTTTTTGCAAAGAATTATTTATTGTTCTTTTTTCTGCTGACATGAAACGGAAAGATTATACTGAATCAATTGCTAGGTCTGCAGTTATGAAAATTGGTTCACTGTGTTGTGAAAGACAATTTTTCTTGCCAGAATCTATTTCACACATTTATAAGTCTAGCATGCATTCATGCATTGAATATTGCTGCCACATCTGATTTGTTGCTTCTGCTAAATAATTAGAGATTCTTGATAAAATCCAAAGAATCTTCAATGTTAATGGTTCTGACCTGGCATCTCAGTCTCAGTCCCTTTCCCATCATTGTAACATAGTTTTCCAGTGCCTTTGTTATAAATATTTTCATGGTAATTGTTCTGATGAGTTTCTTCTTTGCTAACCTTGACTTTATGAATTTAAATGCAGTACTAGATTGGTGGCAAAGTTTCATTCTTTTACAGCTGAAATGGCTAGATGTAACCATAAGTTCTATGCTAACAGTTTATTTTCTTGCACTTCTTATTCGTGGAACTCTCTTCTGGCTTCTTGCTTTCTAGTAAACGTTGATTCCCAAAAATTTAAATGCAATGTTAATCATTATTTTTTGTCTTCTTAATTCCTGTTCTTTTATTGTTTTTGAATTGACTCATTTACATATGAAGTCACAAAGAATATAAATACCTACAGTTATTATCCATGAGGCAGTTGAGTGCATACTACTTCCCGTGAGTCAGTAACACTAGAATGGCGTTGCTAATATCTAAAGAACTGAACAAACAATTATCATCTGATAATTATAAATATGCACAAGTGTGGCTTAGGTTACTAGCAGCTAAAGTTAGACCAAAAAAGCTAAAGAATTTAAAATCAGTCAGAGAAAATCAAATAACTGATCTCTTGTTGGCAACTGCTAGTTGTGAGGCCATCATAAAATTATCAGCAATTGCACATCCAAGACAGCTGGTGGAAATGATGGTTGACGATATAAGTCAACTAATAGCAAAAATCATAGCACCCAAGAAAAAACTAGTGAATGCATAGAAAGCTAACTAAATGAATAATTCTTAAAATGCAAATAAACCAGTCATTGAATATGTTCTTTATTTAAAAAAGGATGCTAAATGTGAATTTGAGAAACCGTGATTGGAAAACAGTGAACAAGAGGATTTGATCCAAATGGGAAAATTGTCACTAGAACAGCATGTTGAATTTGTTCAGCAACAAGAATTAATTGGGAAATGTAATAGAACAAAAGTTACCAATCTGGACACATATGCAATAAAGAAAAAAGATAAAATGATGTGTACTTTTTGTGAATATCAATGTCAAAGAAAAAAATAAAAATGTCTGGCATAGAAAAAATGTGAAAAGTGTTTCAAAATGTATCATTTTAAATGTATATCTAAATCCAAAAAGAAAAACGTAGAGAAGGGCTAACAAAATGAAAAAGAAATAAGTATGGACATCTTTTCATTGAAAAAAAAAAAAAAAAAAAAATGAAAAAGGGTTTTTAAAAATTTGAATTAATAATGTTTTATTCGACATGCAAGTAAGTATGGAAAGTGACATGACATTGATACCCAAAAATCTCTGGAAGGAATTAGGAAAACCCAGATTAAACAAAAGCCTTGTCCAATTGAGTCAGTTCGACGGATCCGTGATAAAAACATTAGGCTATTTTGAAACCTATGTGGAACTAAAAATAAGTTTAATATATTACCAATTATCATGGCAAACTGTGAAAAGAATCATGGTCTGATAGGAAATGATGTATTGAACATAAATTTAACAAAATTAGTAAATAAACTCAAGGCAGAAGAAACTGGAATATTAAAAGGCTATGAAGCAGTTAAGACTAAAGGAAAATGTCTCCCCGTAATATTTTGAAGCACAAAAAGTGCTAGTCCATCTACTACCAATAGATGTGGAAAAACTAAAAAAAATACTGGAACAAGATCTACTTGAATGTGTTCTGCTAAGAGGGAGCAAATAGACCTCCTGTTAGTAATTTTAAGAAAGAAGGATGCGGATCTACACATTTGTGGTGACTACAAAATAGGTGTAAACCATAAAATATGTGCAGATTCATATCCTATCCCTAAAAATATAATATGCTACCAGTATGATCTTTGTGTTGGTGCTATTAATGACAAAGAGTTAAAATGGAAAACCAGTATTGTTCTGAATAAGTTAAAAAAATGCTGGATTAACAATTAATGAAAAAATGTGTGCCCAACAATAAAAACACATTATTTTGGGGATATTCCATATCTAATGAAGGCATGTCACTGTTAATTGATGAAATATTAAAAGTTGAAGTACCTAAGAAAAAAAGAGAATTGGAATCTTTTTTAGGACTTGTGCATTTCTAAAGACAATATATAGAGCAATACTCTGACTTGACAGAACCTTTTGCTGATTAAAGAAAAAGCGAAATGGAATTTTATTGGAATAAAAAGAACAATAAATGGCATTTGAAAATTAAAAGCTGTTCTAGCAGAGAAGCCAGTAGTGAAAATATTCAACCTTAGAAAGAAATTAGTAGCAACAACTGACACAAATGAACACTCAATTTCAGGATCATTAGCTCAGGATGGTCATCTGAACTAAATTACTCAAATATTGAGAAAGATATGTTTGCCATAATTTGGACGACAACTAGAGCTTGTCAGTTTGTGATTGGAAATAAATTCCTACTAATGTCCGACCATAGACCTTTAGAATTCATATTTAAGGAACTTCCTAAGGTAACATCATCTAGAATTCTAAGATGGGCCTTAATGTTAATGGCATTCGACTTGGATGTTGAGTACAAGAAAGGCAATACTATTCTGCATGTAGATGCTTTGTCAAGATTGAGGTTTATTACTTTTGAAAGAGAGAAATAGGGTGAAAAATTTGAATATACTTTCTTACACTGGGACGAAACAGGCAGAAAAGTGTTTTAAAGAGGTTAAACACAAATTAACTGTAGAAAATGGTGTAATTTGTAATGGAGACGTAGTGGTTCCATCTGCAATGCCAAGGAGCAAAGTTATAAAAAGCGTACATGACGATGTTCATTGTGGAATAACGTCTACACAAAGAAGATTAAGGCAAGGTGGCCAGGATATTCTACAGATGTAGAAGAACACATAAAAAAGTGTAAAATGTGCAATGCCAGAAGTAAATTTAGACAGACAAAAACACATACATGATCAAAAGAGTCCCAACATTGGGACAGAGTATACATGGATCATGCCCATGTTAATGGAGTGGGATTATTGCTAATACTGGTAAATTCATATTCAGCCTAGTCAGAAGTAATACGGGTCTCCAACTGTTATGATGTTAATTTGGGGTTAATAAGACAAAGGCCAAATAACACGTAACAATAAAAAGGGGTTTATTAGGTTTGTAAGTAGGTACAGAAATTGCCTGAGTAGTCTATAACTAGCTCAGCCAAGAACTTCTCTGACTCTGTCTGTCTTTTGACATGCCACTATTTAACGTCTTTGTTTGTAGACAAGTTCATCTTCAAGAGGGGTGGTAGGTTTCCTACACAACACCAACAAAAGAAGTTTGACTGTGAACAGGCATTAAGGATCATATTTCCAAGAAATGGAATTCCTAAAATGCTGATATCTGACAATGCCTCAGAGTTCTGTAATGAGGAATTATGCCAATGGTTGAACAAAATTGGATGCAAACCATATAAAACCCCACTGTACCATCCACAATCAAATGGATTAGCAGAAAGGATGGGGCAAACTATAAAAAATGTGATGGAAATATGTGCACAACAGAAAGAAAAAAATAGATATATTTCTACTTAGACTGTTGCTAAGTTATAGAACAATACCACATGTTGGAAGATTGAAAAGCCCATCCACCCTCATGGGTATAGAAATTAGATCCTCATTAGGGTGGATGGGCTTTTCAATCTTCCAACATGTGGTATTGTTAGAAACAGTCTAGGTAGAAATGTTTCTATTTAACCATGTCCCATGCCATCAACAAAAATTGTGGTATAAAAAGAATAGTAAATCTTATTGACAAGAGGCAAGATTCATAATACAAACTGGACAGAACATTATGATAATTGAAGAAAATGGAAATGGGATATTAGCACATATAGACCAGTTAGACTTCAACATGATAGTGATGAAGTGAGCCTGAAAGTAATGAAGGCAAAAATGTCATGTCAAGGCAAGGCAAACATGACAGTGAAATTGATGTAGTATAGACTCTGAAGATGATCAAGGAGAATTATCGGAGAAACGCACCTATGAAAAATGAAGAAGGTTGAGATCTCCTATATCTAGACAATCTCTTAGGGAGAGGGAGGAAGATAGTGAGGAGACAAAAGCTCCCAGAAGAAATACCAGGAAAAATAAGGGGATAAAACCTCTTTGGTACAAGGAGATGAGGTGACTCATTTAAATATGAAATCATAAATAATATAAATAGCTACAGCTATTATCCATGAGATAGTTGAGTGCATACTTCCTGTGAGTCAGTAACACTACATTTCTCTTTCCTTAATAATGTTTTCAAAAAAATTAACAATAACCTACATTTGATTGTAATTATATTTGAATTAAGTAATGGTTTATAGTGTGTGGGTGGGGAGTTATATGCAACTTATACACATATAAATCATTATCTTCTTAATTCTGATTCTTTTATTTTTCCCTCTCCTTAACAACGTATTCTTTTTCTCTTATTCTCTCACACTCAGCAACCCCCTCGTGTCTTAGTAGTTTTATTGCCTTGCTTGGGGTGAATGGTTAAAAAAAAAAAAAAAAAAGAGATTAAAAAATTGAGTATAAACTTTTTTTTTTTTTTTTTTTATTTCAAAACAAGAAAATATTTCTTTTATAGCTTAATTAACATTTTTTTTAGTATCTGGAATTGTAATAAAATGTTTAAAAGAACAACAGGAACATTACCTTTCCTTTGATAATTACTCGAACATACAATGGCTGCACATCAACTTCTAATAGATTTGTGTCTAAATATCTGGACAAAAAGAGGAACTGTTACTGGAATGGAAATCTCAAATAAATAAACAAATGCAACATAAATAAGCATTTTCAGAATTATAACATTTTACTTCGAGGCCATCATCAACAGCCATTAATCTTAGTGCCAAGCTGCTTTGTCTTTAATCGGGGGGAGGGGGAGCATGCAAGACAAAAAAAAGAATATTTCCAGTTTACATCCTAGGCATTGCTATATGCATGATATAGTAACACCTTAGTACACAGACAGAACAGAATAGTTGGAAGAAATGAATGACAAACATGTATTATTCTCAAAGAGATTTTATATACTGCTATGTCATACAAGAAATTATATATAAATATCACTAATTTGTCCCATTCAAAAAAATTGTAATAATATGAATAAAACAAGCAGATTGGAAAGGTAATAAGCAAGGTCTTACTTGTAATATTTCCCATACCAGTGGTATATTCTATGAACTTTGAGGTATCATGTGGGCTCTTTTGTTCTTGCTATCACTGTGGGCCTAAGATGATGTCTACTTCCTTAGTGGTTGATTCATCAACAACTAATATTGACAGATATGTCTTATCTCTACTCATGGTAAATAGTAATTCTGCTTTTGTCATGTCACTTACTGGCTGTCATGTGACCCTCATGACTTTGTGTCAACCTTTGCATCCCTACATTTTTATAAAATTTATATAAAGTAAATTTTCAAACAAATGAGGGTAACTACTGTATAAATCGTATTTAATATATCTGGAGTTATCTTTGAGAAATTGGATCATTCACAGTTAATGTTGATACGAAGCCTATAATATTAAGTTACAAATTTGACTGGAAATTTATTTTCCAAGTTAGAGGATTTTAACACTTTTGCACTAGCAAAATTCTTGCTTTAGTGTGCCATTTTTACTGAGTTATGATAAAAACAAAACACTCACAAACAGAATATAATAATCTCAGTAAAACATAAAAATAATAGGTATATTGATTCATATGTAAATCTAATGTTTGAGAAAATCCATTGGAATCTGATCTAAATGACTTTAGTAAGTTGGTTTGCTTGATTGAAAGGTGATTGCAGAAACAATGACATTAAATAAAATGAGTGATATTTTATTGTTCATATGATTATTGATAGGAAGAGAATTGTTCTTCTTTTGGACCAGAGCAAGAAAAGAAAAAGAAACATGAATCAGTCATAGCTTTTATAAATATGACTGTTTTTTCATCTACATTTTAAGCCAAACATTTATTGCACATCTACACACACACAAACAAAGTATTACCCAAAAGTGTGGAGAATTTGACTATGAAAAAAAAAACAAAAAAACAAATTGTTGTGGTAAAATATAAGAAACAATGGGAAGTAACAAGAAACAAAGAGAAACAAAAAAAAAGATATCATTTATTATGAGTAAGCAATGTTACTTGAGAAAATAACAAAAAAAAGTATTTTATCAGCAGTTAAAAGAAAAAAAAAAGAAGAAAAACTTGCTGTCAAAAAATAAGTCCTAGATGAAGCCAAATTGGCTGCATTAATCACTTCATATACAATCATTTGCACAACTTACATTTTACAGGAATATTCAATGGAATTTGAGTAACAAATATGAAAACAGCAGCAATAATTTGAAATTCTTTAATTATTATTATATTTTTATACTAAAGTTCACCCAATACAAAGCACAAGAGCCACTTAAGGTTGAGGTTTACTGTTAAAAATAGTAAAAATAAATATGAAAAATGTGTGACATGAATGAAAGAGGAGGTTGTAGATTATGAAGATTAGGAGGATAGATAATGATTAATCCTAGACTAGAAAAGAAATGATTGCAGTGTTCAGAAAAACAGTCACATGGAAGTCTGTTTTGCAAAGTAGTAATCTTTGGGAAAATGTTGTCTGAGTGGAACTTCTTCCTTTAGAATCAATCATCGCAAACCTCTGTATTAAAGCTTTTTAAAATTACATTCTCTTCATTTCCTGTTGCAAGTAGTCCTTTTCAGCTTGTATACGGTGACCTTATGAAGGATACTACTCACTAAGTGTAGTCACAATAGTTCATACTACATTTGTAGGCTAATTTTAAAGTCTCTAAAATGAAACTGTTCTCTGTTAATCATCTGAAAGAACCTTTTTTTGCCCTCCATCAGTATGGCTGATGCTAACCTCATTTTGCCTTCTTGGTCTCATGTTTTCCACTGAAATGAAGTGGAATAATTATATTGAAACATGTGCTACGTCTACTGCTAGGAAAGTTGGTTCACTATGTCATGCTGGATACTTTTTTTTCACCAGAATCTATCTTGCACCTTTATAAGTCTAACATTCATCTGTGCATCAAAGATTGCTGCCACATCTCATCTGGTGTTTCTATTTTATATCTAGAAATTCTGGACAAAATTCAAAGTAAAATCTACATTATTAGTCCTGACCTGGCATCTTGACTTCAGTCAATTTCCCACCACTGTAATACTTTCTTTTGCTTCTCCTATAAATATTTTCATGGTAATTGTTCTGATGAGCTTTCCATATTGGTACCTTGACATCACAAATTTAAGTGCAGTAATGGATTGGCAGCTAGATCTCATAATTTCATTGCTGAAATTGCTAGATGTAACTAAATTCTATGTTAACAGTTTCTTCTCTCTTGCTTGTGAAACTCTTTTCTGACTTTCTGCTTTCCCTTACAAGAGAATCAGAACTCAAATTTGTAGGACCAGAATTTGTATTTTATGGATGTCCTGCATACCATATATGACAAAAAATATTGTTTCTAATTATACGACTTGGTTGATTAATTTCAATATTACTAGATTGCTATGTAGCTAAAATGAGACAAATTCTTCTAACCAGATGGAACACTTCTACTATCATCCTTTTAATTAGCTGTTTTCTTGTAGGCTGAAATCAATGACCAAGGATGGCATTATCTTATGTTGCACAAGTTAGAATAATGTAACCATCAATTTCCAATTCTCAGTGTTTGAAATATTAGCAACAGTATATTTAGTTCTTATCTGAATTTCGTTAGGTAAAATGCTTTAATCTTTGTATGTGGTCTTATTTTTTTATCATTTCACTGCAAGTAAGGTAGGAATGCCACTAGTGGGCAGGTGGTTACAGGGAGTGAAAGTGAAAGAAAAGACTGAGAATTGGGATGATTAAGGAAAGGACAAAAGATGAATGAGATTGAAGTAGACAGAAAATGGCGATTGATGTTACATTTAAATCTTTAGTTACCAGGGAAGCAAGTAAACAGAAGGGAAAAACACAGGTGCACAGTGCGAGAAAAGAAACTGTTGGAGTAAAAGTGATGGCTGAATTTATCTATTTCAATAGTAAAAGGGTGGGACCTAGATGCCAATCTAGTAGCACACTTAAATTCATGTATTTGGGTCACCAGGGAAAAAAATCTCATCAGAGCAGTTGCCATGAAAATATTTGTAGAAAAGACAGAGGGAAGGCATGTCACGTTTGTGAGAAAGTTACCCAGGTGTTGAGATGCCTGGTCAGGATTGATTACATTACAGATCCTTCGTTAGAGTTAGTCAAGAATCTCAAGATGTACAGCAGGGGTACCAGACCAAATATGGCAACAGTATTTAATGCATGAATGAGTAGATTTGTAAATTTGTAATTTGTAAATGGACTTTGACAAGAAAAACCTTCTGGCATGACACAGTGACTCAACTTTCTTTGCAGTAGCTGCAGCTATTGATTTGATGTAGTTGCTCCACTTCAAGTCAGTGGAAAATGTGAGGCAAAGAAGGCACAGTATGTTGCTCTCCTGGAGTCTAGCATCAACCTTGCTGATGACAGGCAGAAAAGGTTCTCTATGGATGGATTTCCTTGTCTGTGATTAGTTTCTGAGAACATTTTGGCCATATATCCTCCATCTTTTATCAAATCTTGTTCTAGGATAGCATTATAAGAGTCAGTCAAACTGGTTTGCCTTTAATTAAAACACATTTAATTGTAGAAGCTCACAAAGCATCAAACACAAAAGTCTCAGGATTTCAAATGGACATAGTCTTTATCTTTTTTTAATCATGGTATTCCACCTTTGAATGAGGGCAGTACACCTACCTTGTGCTTTATTAGTCATGTGTGATTTGCCTCTTTCATTTCATTAACATTGAAGAATGGTGTCATCTGAGTGTTTTTTTTTCATGGTGCCAGGCAGATTAAAGTCTAAGAATGCCAGATAAGGGCTGTAGGATGGATAAGGCAGAGTTGTTTAGTCACATGCTTATCTAGTTTTTAAGCTGCCATAAGGCCTTGCAATGTCATCTTGTAAAAACCAATCATTCATCTTTCACATGAAGAAGCTTTACCCTGAGTTTTTATAATATGCATCATGATAGTGATGCTATTGGGTATAAACTTTAACCATATTACTCCATTCTGATCCCAAAACAATGTCCATCAATTTCCCAGTAAAGCATATTGCCTTTCAGGTTGAGTCAGCATATTACATTGATTTTCTTTTGCTCTCTTGCTCATTGTGATGAACCCAAATCTCATCATATGTGACTATTTTACTTAGGAAGGTATCTGTTTTGTGCAGTTCCATAAGCTTTTTGGCAGCAACCACCTTCTGCTACCTGATAGAGCCTGTCAGCATCCTGGGAACCCACTTTACATTGCTCTTTGAATAAAAGAGCATATACTAAACCATGTACCCTATAATGGCACACCTGAAGGTTATTTATACATTTGTGAGTCTTCTATGAGCTGTAATGAGAGCATCAGCCTGTTTGACCTTATCTTTATTCACAGCAATAACTGGCTTGACACTAAATTCAGTTTTTCTTTTATCTCGACAGATGCCATAATTTTTTATCTGGGTTCCTAGAGGCTGTATAGTTTATAGCTAAAAAAACATGGGATTTCTTTTTGACTGACATTCATACATTCTCTTTGTATGTTCCATCCACTTCTTATTGAATTTTGCTGATTCTCCCATCTCTTGAGCCATGACTATGGAATCCCATGTTCTTTATTTGTTCTTTCCTGAATAATACTTTTGCCAAGCTGTTAATATCTGTTCTCAGTCTGTGATTGCATTTCTGTGTTCTTGGATTTATCTACACAAAACAAACACAAAAAGAAGGCTGGAGAGTACACAGCAGAAAGAAGGAAGAGGAAATTAATCCTAACTGACCACATATGATAACTATTCTACAATTCTCATATATAGTAAAATTACTTGCTCTGTCCAAATTTCCCCAAATTGTAAAATCCTTGATATGAGATTCCATTATTCTTATACATTCCTGAATTCAGTTATCATCCCATTGAGAGTAATAAAAACATCAGAAACTTTGGAAAGTGTGACACTGAAATCCAAAGGTGCACTGGAATAGCAAAAGATGCTCTCCAAAAGTTAAACAAAGTATTAAGAAACAGAAACATTTTGTTAAAAACAAAGAAAAGAGTACTGAACTGTTATGTAATATCAGTCCTCTTATATGCCAGTGAATGCTGGAAATCTCTTTCAAGGATAAAGAAAAGACTTGAAGCAACAGAAATGTAGTTCTACAGAAGGATTTTATACCAAACATGTTAGCAAGTTTTAGAGAAAATAGAAACAAAAAGAACACTTATACTTATCAGAGAGTTGAAATTTCCAGGGCACATAACGGAGAAAGAGGGTTTGGAAAATTTGATACTCACAGAACAGATTGAAGGCAAGAGGGACAGAAAAAAAAAACAGTGCATAACCAACCTAGAGAGCTTGAATAAAGGATGGCAGAGCAAAGTTTTGGAGAGATAACAAAAAGACAAAATTTATTAAGAGCTACAAAGGATAGGAGATTGTGGAGAGCCATGATCCCCTATGTTACAGAATAGTCAATTAAGAATAATAACATTACCAACCTATAACAAGCCAAGTCCAAAATAAATGCATTTGCATCAGTGTCATCTGTCAGATGAAAATCCACCCTGTTTCAAAATACAAAGCAAAACATGAACTGGTTTTAAAATAAATAATAAAAATCCTAATTTAAAATTTTCTTTTGAAAACAAAAGTAAAAGTCAATTTTTGGTTATCCAAAATAAATCATTTTAAAATATTATAAACAGACAAAATTTTCTACCTATACTTGTATAAAACCTTTTGTCCAAAGGATACTATCATTTGTTATGTCTATGATTTGCAATGTAATTCTTTCCTGTGTAGTGTTGAGGGACAATTTTAAAATAGTTTTATTACTTTAACAAGATCCTAACCTACTATACTTATCTGAGCTCAGTATATATATATATATATATATATATATATATATATATATATATATATATATATATTATTTAAGCATACACAAATACACATATATATTTTTTTTTTTTGATCTGATGTAGCCTAGAAGGGCAAAATGTGTCAAATCTTGTATCAATAAAATGGTTTTCCATTCGTCAAATTTCTTCAAAACTTTGTCAAACACACATTTCTTACTGGATTGAAAATGGCAGTATTGATATTAAACTTTTAACATAATTCTTTCCATCAGGGTTTTTCCCAATTCACAACTTTGCTACATTTTACAGACCTCTAGCATATTCTCACCAACCCATATGCATTGATTATACTGACCTACAAGTGAACTCTTACCGACACTGTAAACTTGCCACCATCTCTTATCAAATACAGTAAACTTATTCATTGGTTTTTCTTTTAATTAAATCCTGTTCTTTTTCCCTACTGATTATACTTTTCTATTCTGTTTTTAATAAGATAGAAAGTGTTCAAAAATATATTTCCATTTAAGGTATTATGTGTATTCAGGTATAATGGTGATTAAAATTAATATTATAAGATATTCACTGTTGTATACTTTCCTCAAAAAGCAAAAAATGTATAAAATAGTGGTAAAAATTATGAAAACAGATATTGTCAGAGATAGGGAGTGTATTTTGAATTTAATAAGTTATTAAAACATTAAAATATTACATAAATTTTATATTACAAAATACATTGCCTTTTTAAAGAAAATGATTTTGAAATAGTTTTTTTGTATTATTTAAAATAAAATCACTTGATCATAAGCTTCCAGAGGAATTATTTAAAAATTCCAGTTATAAAAGGTAAAATAATTACAAAAAGAAAATTGGAAATTTTTCTTACTTTGCTTCATTAATATTGAAAGGACGGCCATCATCTGCAAACAGCCTTCGAATTTTTTTTTCTTTTTCAGGAAGATCACTAACAAAAAAAATTTTTTGACTAGTGAGTAAATTGTTACATACTAACATAGTAGTTGTCAAAATTGACACAAGTATATCAGATTTTATTATGCAATTCAAGGTTTTCACAGTAACATTAGTATTAACAACTGATATTAGTAAAATTTTCAGAATATGCTTATATTTATATAATAAATATGCTATGTGAATTCAAGCTTGTAATATCTAATTTTATTACAACTATTTATTTTAATCATTGCATCCCAGGGAAGGCAATAAAGCCACTAAGACACAAGGGGTTATTTTTCAATAACTTATTAGATGTGAAATTTTATTATGTAATTTGAGGGAGTTTTAGCAAATAAATATATGCAAAAAAAAAAGTGTATATCAAAATAGAAAGCAATATTCAAGCAAAGAAAATCTTTTGGGGAAACAATAAAAAGTAATGTTAAAGTCAAAACAGTAGAAATGTTAATAAAATCAAATGAATAAAAGATTGGTGATGATTATAGAATGTCAAGGATAAGTTAGAACATTAAGATAATAAAGTAATTTATTCAGACATATGAGATATTGTTTTAATCAAATATGTTTCTATGGCTAATATGTTTGTAATTTATTTATAAACAAAACTTTATCTCCCATTAGTTTGTTTGCAAAATAAAATTGGACATTCTCCAAAGCAAGTTAATATCAATATTTTTTTTAATAAGAATGAATGATATGATGGAGCTCACATGATATATTGACCATATAAATATAAATATATCCTGAAAATTTTACCAACATTGGTTGATCCATGACAATTTTATTGAGAAAACATTGACTTGCATAATAACATCTGACACCCCCAATAATTTATATATGTTTCTAATAAAACAAAATATCATAAGCTGAAATTCACAAGGTGCATTTCTCATATAAATATAAGCTTATCTTGAGAAATTTTAATAATACTGGTTAATTAATTCCAATTTTATTGTAAAAAAAACATTGACTTGCATAGTAAAATTTGACAGTGAATCAATTTAGGAGCAGTGTAGTATCTGTGCAATCTGTGAAAAGTGTAACACATCAAAAGTCAAATTATATACAGGGTACAATGGGTAAATTGTTGTCATTTTATATTTTTAATTTTGTGCATTGTTTGTTTTTGATTTTGTTGACTACACTATATAGTAGGGTCAGTTGGGGACCCTTTGTGAGAAAAAAGTACTATAATGCAATTCACTCAGAAACTTGAAAATGGCATGCTGTACTGCTTGGCATCTGTGGCAGAAGCTCCAATATGAACATTTCAGAGTGTTTGGGCACCAATCAGAGGACAGTGCAGAGGATTCAGGAAGAGTTGGATGATATATCCAGACAACATCATAGTGTTTGGAGTGATGGTGACATTATACCTTCATTTCATCTTTCCACAGAGTCTCAGACTCAACATGAAGTCCTACATCAAGTGCCAAACACTAGTATCAAGAAGGTGACTGCTGGAAGATCCGACAAAACTCTGCACCATGCCACACAAGCAGAAAAACCCAGTGATGGCTGTCAGACAATTTCTGTGACCACATCACCCCTTACATCTGGCCACTTAACTTCCCAGACTGCAACCCCCGTGATTATTATGCATGGGGCACAGTTATACGAGAGACCAACAAAACTCCTTGTAACACCAACAATGAATGAAGGCAAGGATTATGGCAGCATTCACCAACTTAAACAAAGAGACCAACCAGAACAGATGCAAGAGATACTGAAGTCGTCTGGAGGAAGTGGTTGAAGCCAATGTCGATTTTATTGAATAAAATAAATTTACTCTTTTGTATTTCATGTGTAATTTTGGTAAATATATCTGTTAAAACAAGATGTCAGTGTTATTTTCATTTTGTGTAATTTGAACAACAATTCATCCATTGCATCCTGTATATATATATATATATATATATATATATATATATATATATATATATATATAAAATTTTATATTAAATAGAAATGTATTTTACATTTCTTTTTGAAGAAAATAATTTTCAAGGATGTTTTCATATTTAAAATAAAATGATTTAACTAGAAACTACCACTGGAATTATAAAAGTTATGTTTTTTTTTTAATTGGTGTTTACTTCATGTATAAATGATAGTTATAATGACAAATGTAGTTTTTTTCTAATTTCATATAAAATTATCCATGAGGAAAGTTTGTAGTTTCACTCTTTCATATTTAGTTAATTATTTATTTATTAGATAATTATTTCATATCATGAGCACACTGTCAAATACTTTGGGATTCTTTATATATGGATCAGCATTTATGTGTAGGACTAGAGTATCTGTATAACAATAGAGAGAGAATGAGACAGACAGAGAAATGGGTGTGACCATGGCATTCATGTCTGACATTTGCAGTAAATTTAATATAAAGCCATGAAACTTTCACTGCTTCTAGCAGAAAAGAGAACAGCTTATGATCAAACCAGTCAATTAACTACTAGGTTTTTAAAAGGTGTTGTGCCTCTTACATTTTTTACACAAACCAGATGTTGACCACTCAATAACCCAAAGCAGACTGCATAAATACGCTTTCTTTGCATTGGCATACATCTGTTTTAACCAAAACAAAATGAACAATACATTATGACCAGTCAGAGCCACTTCCACTCAAAAACTAACTCCTTAATTTCGGGCTGATTCAAGGCTACATATACCCAAATTCAAACAAACCCAAAACAGACCAGTGTTTAAGGTCAACACTGACATGCTGAGAGAGAAACACCAAACAATGATGACCATCACCAATGACTATTTTACTTCTATTTTCATCACTCTCTCTCCCTGTTGCCTTAGCAATAGCAATAGATAAAAGTTAGTAGTTTTTGTACATATGTAAATAAATTATACATTTATTTACCCCCTACTCAATGTCCTCTTTTGTTTGATGTTTGGGTTTTTGTTTGCCAAGGTAAAGAAGGAATTAAGCTCCACAACAATAACAACAACAAGGTTTTGTCTTTCAGGTCAACCATTTCTGCCTCCACAATAAAGGATCATAACATAAACAATATATGAATTATGTATTTTTTGTTTCTGTGGCTTCAATTTCATTGATATCAAAATTATTCAAAAAGTAAATAAATAAATAAAATAAATGGAGTTGGAATTGGCTTCAGAGACAGTAAAATAAATCTAAAACAAAAAATTAAGAACATTTTTTTTTGCTTACCCATCTGAATCTTTGGTTCTGAGTTTTTCCAAATGTTTGTGTACTTCAATTCGAGATTCTGGTGTGAAAGGCACAACCTCATCCCAAAATCTGAAATTTGGAAAGAGTTCATAATTCAGATCTTACAAGAGTTTTTCCAAAGAAAAACAGAATATTTGTAGTAATTACTTTTAAGACAAGAATTCAAGAAGAATGGTAATTCTTACAAATTGAAGCTGTTTTTGTTGGAAATTACTGATTAATATAGTTGATAAATTTATGTAAATTATGAAATATCATTATTGAAGATTTATTTACTATTATTCTGTTTTATTACATGTTTATTCATATATATGCAACATAGAAATGGTTTCTCATATAATTCATGGGTTATTTTTGTATAATTGATTTTTAACAAGCTTATGGAAGATAATTGTTATGACAAATATAGTTTTCTTTTATGATTAGTTAATATCCTACTTTCTACAAGGAACAGAAATAGCAGGGACACACTGTAAACCTCTAATGCACACATATTAACAGGTATATACATATATATATATATATATATATATATATATATGCATGCACACACACATCCATATAAACATACATTCATTCATTCATTCATACACACACACATATATATATATACATGCACACACAAACACATATAGAGAAAGCATATATACACATATATAAATAAATACACACATACACAACCATATATATATATATATATATATATATATATATATGCACTCATGTGCATACATACACAATGTGTGTGTGTATTCATACACATATACACGCATACAAAGGCACAAATCTGCATACAAGCACATACACATGTAAAAATGTGTACATACATACACAACCTAGTACAAATCAAGATTAGTATTTATGTGGCAAGGTAGGGCATAAACAAAAAAAAAAAGAATCATTAGAGTACTATGAATTAATATTACTTACTGATCAGGACTTAGTGTTATTATACTATAAATAAGAAGTTTAACTGTACTGTGAGGTGAAAGAATTATGTATATAGTTGACAGCTTGCTTTTTTGATTTAATAAAGAATTCTTATCTTCAAATCTAGTTATTGTCAACTTTTTATTAAGGCATAGGAAACATGGTTCATTTAAAGATTTACAAGTTCTAGATTTTTTAAGGATTTTCCATTTTAACTTAGGTATTTTGTTTTCCTCTTTTAATTTCCAAAAGTGTTTTGTAAGTACTATTTGTGAATGATAATTTATGCTTTTACTTTCTATTCTCAAAAGCTTTCTTAATGCTCCCTATATAGAATTTTTTTTAGACTCGGGTTTTCTATTGTGGAAATTGTGCCTAGATAAATGAGAGCTTGTCAAATATTTATTTTGCAATGGGCAGTTATTAGGTTTTCTAAAATTACATTTGCTAGCATTATTGGTACTGATTCTTCAATTTTTGCATTGGTTTAGAAGTTTGTGATTGTGCTTTTTATGATTGATTTTTTGAGGTTATCAATACAAATGTAGCTTAACTTCAGTATGTTTGTATACATTTGTATGCACATGCATTTGTACTTATTTACTTGTATGAATTTCTGGCCACATATTTACCTGTATGCATGTGTATATGTGTCTGTGTTCATGCATTGATTTGTGCATGCATGGGTACAGACTTATAGGATTGAGTATGTATTTATTCATACATTGGTTGTTGTTTATGTTTGTTCTGCTTAGGTGTTTATGGCTATACATGTATCTGTGTGTAAGTGTTGAGCACTATGGAGAAAGGGATTTTTTAACAGCTGCTCCTCCTACTTAATGCATAGCTCTTCACCAGAATTGAGCACTCTAGCTGCTAGTCTAGTGTTTATATACACCACATATATAATATGTTAAAAGATTCCCTTTCTCTACTGGCTGCCGATAGCTTAGGGATAGAGTCTCTGACTGATGCCAAATCGGTTGAGTTTTGATCCCAGCTTGAAGCAATTGGATGTCTAGTTACACTGATCAGCTGTGATAGTGAAACAGGCTCACTGTATATATATATATATATATATATATATATATATATATATATATATATATATATATATATATATATATATATATATATATATATATATATATATATATATATATATATATATATATATATACATATATATATACATATATATATATATACATATATATATATATATATATATATATATATATACATATATATATATATATATATATATATATATATACATATATATATATATATATACATACATATATATATATATATATATATATATATACATATATACATATATATATATATATATATATATATATATATATATATATATATATATATATATATATATATATATATATACATACATACATATATATATATATATATACATACATATATATACATACATACATATATATATATATATATATATATATATATATACATACATATACATACATACATACATATACATAAATATATATATATATATATATATATATATATATATATATATATATGGGTTTGTGTATATATGTATGCATGTGTGTATGTGGATACATGAGTGTGTATATGGGTATGTTTGAAACTCTATAGTCCCATCTACTACCAGTTCATGTTGAACTAATGGTCAATGTTTGCTGATGTTGATATGGGGTGTTGACAGATTTATAAGTAGACTTATCTCCTGATTTTATCCTAATAGTTTACATTCTTATATTAGTTTATTGAGTTAAGACCAAAGAATACTATGAACTTGACATCCTATTAACATCGAGGTGAGATTCTAAATAAACTGAACAGCCAACATAAATCTAACATGGAACTGATCATAGGCCCGACGTCTGATTGGTTAACTGAGCTCTCCCCACCAGCATGTTGAAAATTTAGGCCCTTTTTTCCCCATCCCTCCCTGTTGAAAGTATTGCTACTTTTAAACAATAAAATGGATGCCTATTCTCTAGCTGAACAACACTAAATGAGGAGGCACACACAGTTGAAACATGATTGCATTTATGTAGCAGTTTATAACATGTTTTTGTTATAATTGTTAATAATAATAATTTTTATTATTAAGCTCTACTCTGTATTGAGCACTTTTTTAAAAATGTAATGTCTGAACATTGGCACTAACCTACCTTACACTTGGTTATATATAACAAACCATACTATACCTAAAAAATAAACTGTAATTTATATTAAAAATTAATCTGAATCAATGTATTTAAGCAAATATTTATTTTTATGCCTACATGTAACCATCAATTCATTTCTCTTGTTTAATAAGCTGGCAATTAAAGAATGATGGTATCTCATCATGAATCAGCTGAGATAATATAACAAGAGCTAAATCTTATGACAAGACATGAAATAAATATAACTTGTATCTTGTTGAAAAATTGGTTATCTTAAAACACTTAAATAACCATAGCTTATTAAACAAGAGAAATGAATTGATTGTTACATGAGGGCATAAAAATAAATATCTTCTTAAATATGTTGATCCTGATTTATTTTTAACTTTTAATTTTTTATGTAAATTATGGTTTATTTATGTAAATTACTATTTATTTATTTGAATTTAAATTTATGATTTGTTTTGTTTAAATATGATCAAGTAATCTCCCTTTAATTAAACCAGTAACACAAAACAGCTGAAGCCATAAAAAGGAAGAATGAATGTACATTCATTCAGTTTGATATTTGTGACTTTCACCCGTTCATCGGAGAGAATCTGCTAATGTTGGCTATAATTCTAGCAATAAATTACTGTCCTATTAGTGATCACAAAATAAATATCATAAAGCAGACACAAAAGCCTATAATTTTTCATAATGGTTATCTGTGTACCAAAGAAAGTAACCTGGAATTTAGTATTGATGTGGGAGCATATGACTCAGCGGAGACATGTGAATTAGTTAGAATTCCATTATTATGGCAACTTAGATTTATGTATAACACTGGTCTTAGATTCACAGTCTTAGATTAGTGCACTCTCAATGCATTTCCTTCTCATTGAATTCTGTTCTGTCCTGATCAGACTGGCATTTTTTAAGTCATAACAAGTCAGATGTATTACGGTGAACCACTAGTGTGTTTATTGTTATGCAGAATATCTCTATGATGTTCATATAATTTTTTTTTAAAGTTTTCTAAATGTTTCACCAATGTATATCAATGAGCATTTTGTGCAGCTATTTTGTATATCCCTGCCACCATTCTGTTGTTGTCTTGTTTCATGCTAACTATATCTCTTAACATTTTAGAGGTGGTGTTGATGAATTTTATGTCAAGGTTGGACAAGTTTTTATATGAGGGGGCACATATACATATATAATTGTGTACAGGTATATATAACTAGTTGTATGTATGAATAAAGTTTATATATATATATATATATATATATATATATATATATATATATATATTGAAAAAAAATCCTGATTTAAAATCCTACAATACCAAATGGCTCTAATACAGATAGATAAAACAAACAAGCACACAGATGGGCAAACACTCTCCAAGCCTGGACACTGATAAGCTAGAGTAATTAACTTGATTTATGATACCCATTTATCCTCAGGGAATCAAGGCATTTTCCTCACATACAGTTTTGTCTTTCTTTCATTTAAACTGAGGAAGCCAAAGAGAGCACATGCTTCTTCAGCAAAATGAGTCTTTAATAAAATTTTCCACTTTGTCTCATCAGCTTCACTTTTGTTTCAGATACTTCTGTACATCCTACACAAATGCACACACACACACACACATATATATATTTATTATTCTGAACTTGTAAAGTGGCCCCTATTTGTGTATGTGTGTGTGCAAAAGATTACTGAATGTATATCATGTTTGATGAAGGCTGAAGAACTAGTTGAAAATGTGTGATAGAAACAACAAAGATGAGGATACTAGCATGACTAATATATAAAATAATGAAAATGTCATGTCTCAAAATTTCAAGTATGACTTACTCTTTTTCAAGTTCTTCCTCTGTTTTTTCTTTTGTTGCTCTTTTATTTTCTTGCTCTTCACTGAAATCAAAAAATCCCCAAAATATGTTACTGATTTATTGTTTTTTCAGGAAATAATCAGTTAATTTAGTACCAATTTTGTAGATGAATAACTTTTATAATGCCAAAAGTATTGATATTGTAAGGGAATTATAAATCTGAGTAAATAATTATAAACCCCCTAACATTTATATATACAAAAATACTCATAGAAAATGAGAAACAGCAAGACGTGGAAACAACAAAACAAGTATTATTTATGATCTGGTTGTTATGTAGTGTTGGAGACCAGACACTAATACTGAGTAAAATTTTGAGTTTGGGATCAAATGTAGATCAAATATGGATGAGAATCTGACAGAATGATAAGATAAAGAATAAGTAAAGTATATACAGTCTTTCTACTATGTTTTTTTATACATGGGTGTAATAAGTGCCCAAATAATTTAGTTGGAAAATAAAAAAAAATGTGGCCTGAAAAAGGAAAGGAGCCCAAATTTTTGTCAACCCACATATTGACTGTCTGCTCAATAGTGAGGGTGTCATGTGTTTGAGTGTAGAGGAGAAAAGTGGGGTGGGTTCTCATTGGTTTAGAAAGAGTGAATTAATGATAATTATAATTATTTTATCATAATTATTTTTGACACTAATTAATTTTTATTTATGTATTTTTTTATGGACACCATATATTTTTTGTATGTGATACTTATAATGTTGCTAGTACAAGGGAGATATCTCCAGAGATTGGCCTTTCATTGGCAACGCCAGTTGGCAGTGCCTTTGTTTTGACAATAACAGACCCTGTTATTGTCAAAACAATGAATGAATCAAAACACCAAAATCAAAAAAGAGATTGGAGAATATTAGCATGTGGGTGTGCAAATAGATAAATTATGATAAGTGGAAAAATATATTCAGAGCACATGTGAGTAGTAAGTACTTAACAAAATAGGCCATAATTTCTGATGTCATAGGTAAACTAGGATGTATATAAAAGCAAAGTTCATGTGATATTTCAATATTTTCATTGCTTTATTATAAGGTCTGTTGCACCCTGTCAGAACTCCAATTCTTTAACTCTAATGGAAGTGTTCATTTCAACATCTACAAATCATATGATAAAAAGCAGAACTTAATTTTGTCCAGTTCTGTTGCACCAACTTCCGGAAAACCACCCAAATATATTAGGGTCATTAAACATGTTTTTTGACTAATCAAAAAAGGCCCACATGGTTTTTATAGCAGCTGTTTCTGAGCCTTTAACTCACTATAAAGCCAACGCTGATTTCACACATGAAAACAGATCTGACCGAGCTGGCATTAGCAATGCACTAGATAGCAAGCAAACTTAACCAGGCCATAAGCTGTAACACCAAAGTACTTCTATCAACAGCAATACCTTTGGCTAGTGACAAAACCAACAACAGGAGAGATTAATTCTCAACTAATGCAACACAATAATTCATTGAATATTACTTCCACAATTTTATTTCACTCAACTACACATACCTGTTGATTTTCTCCACATGTCTATCTTGACTACTACCTTGTGCTATACTCTAAACAAACTTTCAATCTCCCATGACTGATATACAATACTCCAGAATGAGTAAGTTATTGAATGAGTAAGTTATTGAATCATGGGAAATAAAAAAAACTCTTTTACTTATCTCAACCACATCTTATCTCCATTTGATGTTTTGTTACTTCCACTTTTTCTTTTTAACAATAAGGCCACAATTACAGGCTTAAAAAATTCAATAATATTATTAAAAAATATACTTTAGTCTAAAATTTTGATAGCTGAACATAAGTATATCATAGCAGAGTTTACTTTTTAAATAGTCCCACTGTTTAATTAGTGTTATTATTATCCTTGTTAGTAAACAATTTTATAACTATAAATATTTTTGGCACTCATTCTGTTGATTCATTCTCAGCTTAAAGTTCTGTCAAATTCATTATTTAATGATTATTAAAGACTACAAATGTAATTATAATGACTTATTTAAAAGATAATTTTTCTTTCTAACATAACTAATCTATTCAAATGTAGTTTCTTTTTTTCAGTAGAGAAACATTTGGTAGTGAATACTGAGATCTTATGATCTGTCAGTTGGAAGTTAATATCTGAAGGATATTAATGGATAAATGTCCTGAAAAATATTCAAAATTCTTAATGTATATTGTATATATTTACAAATCCCCAAATCAGGATGGTTTAATGGTTATCAGTGCAGAAAATGGAATTGCTGAATGGAGTTTAAATTCCAGCCAGTTCTCTTTTTTTACCTCTGGATTCATGCCTTTGGAATCCATCTTTCCCCAGCTCTGGGGTAAACAGCATGGCAGACTGGTCTCTATTGCCTTGGTAGTGCAAACAGTCTAGGAGGAGGATAACTCTTAACTTACCCCCCCCCACACACACACACTTCCCTGAAGAGAGGCTTTGTCAGGCAGTCATACTGCTACAGCTGTAGTGAATGTGGTGCCCCAACAACCCTGATCAGATACAGAACTCATGATTGAGACTGCCCAGAAACATTTCTTCAGTATTGAAGGAAAAATATTTCTTCTTCATATTTCCTTGGAAGGACTGCAAGATTCTAATAACACAAATGAAAACAAAAACAAAAAATGCTTTTCAGAAAGTAGACATTGTATTATGGAACTTACAAAATATTAGAATGGACTTGATTTATAACAGAATTATTTTTTCTTAAACTTCTAATAACAACTGTTATCTCTTTACTTTCAGCCCTACGCTTTCACCACTGAGATATAGCTACAAGTGTAAATGTTCCAAAATAACTTTAGTTTATGTTTGCATTTCATAGTCATGTGGGTTTATTGCTTGAAGAGGATTTTAAAACTTAAACTAACTTTTGTTAAATGTTTGAGTACATATTTAAAAAAAAGAGGTTATTTGATGAAAAAAATGATTCCACACAATACTATTTGCCTTATTACTTTCTAATAAAGTTATAGAAATTCTTTAAAATATTTTTAAGCACAATACTAGATTTGAGGCATGGTCTCATTATTCTGCAGTTGAAATGCTTAGAGGTAACTGTAAGTTCTATGCTAACAGTTTCTTCTATTGCACTTCTCACTTTTGGAACTCTTTTTTGGTTTCTTGCTTCCTGGTTGACTTTGATCTTCACATATTTATGTGCATAGTCAGTCGTTATATTTTGTTTTCTTAATTAATGTTCTTTTGATATCTCTCTATAATAGTATTTTTTTCATATTCTCAAACATTCAGTACACTCTTGCATTTTAGTGGCTTTACTGCCTTGCCTGGGGTGAAATGATTAAAAGAAGTTGAAATTAAATACCTTGATTTAGTGCTTTCAGAATCAGGAAAACCATTTTCTTTATCATTGGAATTAGTACTTTTGTTGGCTTTAGCTTTTTGCTCCTCCTTACAAAAAATAAAAATAAGACAATTTATGGCTACATTAAAAAAAAGAATATCTATCTGAAATCCTTGGAACAAGACCAAAGTGATAGCCTTTGGTATTGGCTTGGACTAGACACTTTTCAAAATTCAAAAGGTTTTTATTCCAGAATGGTGGTATATACATTTGGTATATACATATGATATATCCTGGAATTAGCAAGTACAAAAACCCAAATTTTCAAGAGGTCAAGCAAAGGAGACATGTCAAACATTAATATTTTTGCATTACATTCTATGAATATTTACACTAAGTGTTATGAATAAAAACTATAAATAATATTATAGATTATTTGTATAGTGTTGTGGTAAACCCTCCTAGAGTAGAATGTACTCCTCCTCCTCTCATAAATACTAACTGTAAGAGTTGGTTGAGCGGAGAAGTAGATGCAGTGCTAACCTACCATTCGGATGTACACCGCTATCTACTTATTACTAACACTCTTACTTTGTATATATCTTCAATATACTTGTTCAACCTACCTTCATCTTCTCTGTCTTTCTTTCTGGCCCCTAAACAGGCCACAACATATAGTAATAAAGTAATGAATGGAATGGGAAAAGACAGCTCATAAATAACATGCATATTTCTAAGTAAAACATTCATTATTTCAAACAGCTTCAAACTAAACTGAAAATAATAAAATATTAACAAGCAACTAAGACACACAGTAGGTTAATAAAAGAGAATGGATGTGTGGTGTGTTGTAATTGATAACACCTTGGAATGAGAAATTGGAGAGCCAGGTTCATTACTTACATTATTTGAACTGTTATCTTCCTTATTCACAATGTTTTGGCCATTGTACACTTCTTCAGGTGATTGGAATTTTGAACCAAGCCCTTTATTTCATCCTAGTTCTATGTGCCATGCCTCTTCTGGATGTCTCAGTTATTTCCCTTTAACTCAACTCTCCAAGTTTTTTTAGCCTGGTACTGAACTCACAGTGCTTTGGGTCTAGTCACTGGATCTAACCAATGCCTTTATCCACTGTGCCATGTGTCCCTGAGGATATCTGTGTATGAATTTCTAGGATTTATAAACCTAATGTTTCAGCAATCGTTTTTTAGCAGTGCTCATATTGCAATTTTTCCATTACTATTATTGCATATTTTTTACCATAGCTTAGTTTGCAATTTTGTGTTGTTATTCATTGCTTTTCTCTAGCAATCCTTGTTACTGTTTCCCATATTGTATTCATTTCTATGCTTGGTCAGCTTAGGATATTTTTGTGGCCTAGCATGTGTGCTGATGCCTTAAGTTTTCGTATTTTCCAGTGATGTTCTCTGTCTATTATTTCAACCTCATCCCACAGGGTGTGGTGATCCCCCTTTTCCCTCCATATGTGGTCAACTACACCTGATTTTTCTATTTCCTCTTGTGTTACAATTTTACAATGTTCTTGCAGTCTTATCTTAACCCTGTTTCTCCCTTATATTACTTACTACAGCTGCATGGGATGGCGTACACACAGTCCTTAGTCATGTTCTCCTCTATGAGTGGTCTTACTTGGAAGAGATGTCTGCGATGTTTTGAACCACTTTTGAAGATTGCTTTGATGTTATATGGACCACAGATCTTTTGTATTTTTTCTGATAATCCCTTCACATAGGGTAGGCAGATTGAAGCTGTTTTCTGAATGTTGTTATCCTCTTGTACCCTTCTATCCCAGTTTGTCAGAGCTGCTGTCATGTACCTGGGGTAGTTGTTACGTTGTAGGGTACTGCTTATATTGACAATCAATCTTTCCCTTGATCCTGTGTAGTCATCCTGTCCCCTTAGCAGAGAAACAGCCTCAAAGCATAATGTTTCCACCACCATGCTTAATGGTTGGGATGGTGTTCTTTGGGTCCAAGTCAGATATTTTTTTTCCTCCAAAAATGGCAAGTCGAGCTGATGCCAAAAAGAATTGAGCTTTTTTTTTTAGTCTCATCTGACCACAGTACTTTCTCCCAACCCTCCTCTGAATCATACAGATGCTCATTTGCAAACTTCTGATGGGCTTGTACATGTGCCTACTTGAATAGGGGTATATTGTGGGCACTACATGATTTCAGTCCACTACAACATATGGTCATCTTGGTGACTGGTCCCAGCTGCCTTGAGATCATCATCAAGCTCTTGCTGTGTAGTTCTGGGTTGTTTCCTCACCTTTCTCATCATCAAGTTCACTCCACATTGGAAGATCTTGTGCGGAGCTCCAGACCAAGGGAGACTGATAGTCAATTGGTGTTTCTTCCATTTTTTTTATTATCGCACCGACAATTGACTCCTTCTCACCTAGCTGCTTGCCAATTATCTTTTAACCCATTCCAGTCTTGTGCAAGCATACAATTTTGCCTGGGATGTCCTTAGACAATTCTTTCATCTTGCCCATTGTGATGAGATTAGATTCTGATTCATTGAAGGTGAACTAGTGTCTTTTATACAGGTAATGAGTACTTGATTAGGAGTAATAATTGAGTAATAGGACTAGTCGATATGCCTCCTGTTCACATAGCTGTTTTTTTTTTTAATGAAAAGATGTCCATTGTTATTTCCTCTTGGCTTTGTTGGTCCATCTCTCCATTTTTCCTTTTTGGATTTATACATATGTTTAAAATGATTCATTTTGAAAAACTTTACTCATTTTTTTTCTACGCTGGACATTTTTGTTTTTCTTTTTGATGTAGATATTCACAAAAAGTACACCTTATTTTATCTTTTTTCTTTATGGTGTATATGTCCATTTCCTCTACCAGATCCATAACTTTTGTTCTATTAAATTTTCCAATCAATTCTTGTTACTGAACAAATTCAACACACTGTTCTATTGACAACTCTCCCAGTTGTAAATGCATTAGAGTTATTTGCCAATACTCCTCATATCAATTTCATTTGGATCAAGTCCTCTTTGATTGACTGGTTTTCTGAACCCAGTTTTTCAATTTCACAATATTTAACAACCTTTTTTAAACAAAGAACATATTTGATGACTGGCTCATTCACATTTTGTGAAATATTCATAAACTTACCTCTTTCTGCATTTGCTAGTTTTTTGGGGGGTGGGGGTGTTATGTTTTTCATTATTAGTTGACTTATGTTGTCAAACATCATTTCCTCCAACTGCCTTGGGTGTGCAATTGCTGATAATTTTATGATGGTCTCACAACCAACAGTTGCCAACAAGAGATCAGTTATTTGGTTTACTCTTCTAACTGATTTTAAATTCTTTAGCTTTTTTTGTTCTAGCTTTACTTGTGCATATTCATAATAATCAAGTGATAATTGTTTGTTCAGTTCTTTAGATAACGGTGACACCGTTGTAGTGTAGTGTTACTGACTTACGGGAAGTAGTATGCATTCAACTACCTCATGGGTAATAGCCATAGCTATTTAGAGTCTTTGTGATTTCATATGTAAATGAGTTACCTCACCTGCCAAAGGCCAATATGTGTATATAAGGCTAGGATGAGGTCTCAAACCTTAAATGGCAACCTTCCTAGAGATGGTGTCTTGATAAAAACACTGTGTACTTGGACTACTGTGTGAGTTAAATGTCAGGAAGAGCATTTGGGCCAGTAAAATCTTGCCTCAAATCATTATGGAAAATTCTTTGTCAGACAGCACCCACCTTGCTTTGTGCGAGATTAATTATGGTCCTGCCTCACCAAAAAAAAACAAAAAAAAAAAAACATGGCTATGTATGTATGTATGTATGTATGTATGTATGCCTGTAGATTTGTGGTCTGATATAAAAGACTTTTCAACCTCCCATTTCCTTGACTGAAATAGAATATTCCTTTAGTAAAAAGTAAGTTCCATAAGGACAGCTTCTTTCTAAGAACTGTTGCATTGTGGAATGGACTCCTGGCAGGGTGTTGTCCCAATCACTACAATCTTGACCTCTTAAGGTCTAGGGTTAACTGTTACCTTTCTTGCATAGCCCCATGTATTTCACTTCTTGCCCTTTGTTATGCTCATACAACACTATACAATAATCCTCTACATTGAGTGGCACTTGGGACTTGTATTGGATGAACATTAGCATAAAAAAATTACATCAAATCAAATTTAATGCTGGTGCTGCTAAATCCATCAGTCAACACACTGCACAGAATACACTACATTCCATGAGCTTTCATAGTTATAATCATCATCTAACATTCTTTTCACCAGAACCAGAGAAAATCCCCATTGGACTGTGGAAGATTGGCACCATGTTACTTGGTCAGATAAGGTAGATTTCAAATTCATTCAAGCAAATGGTCAAGTTTGTGTGTGTGGAAGAGACTGTATGAGACTATAAATCCAACACACCTGAACAGTGTTGTGCAAACTGTTTTTGACTCTGTAAAGGTATGTGTGTAGGGAATGTTCTGTTGGAGTTCAAAAGGACCACTAATTAGAGTCTATCTTGACAGGTGTAACATACACAGTATTTGATGCAGATCCTTTGCATCTCTTTATGCTTGTCATGTTTCCTGGTGATGGTGGTATGTTACAAAAAGAAAACACAATTACATTGTGCACAGGTGACATAAACGTGTGTTAAAAGGAACATTCAGTTTGCTTCCAGGTACTCCAATGATTGCCATGCTCACCAGATTTAAACCCCATTGAGCATATATATGATATTATACAAAACTTGCAAAATACTGTACTGCCATACCCAATAAACACAATGCAGTTATAGAAAACCCTGGAGCATGTGGGTAATTCAGTTCACCCGTTGTTTGCTTGACTGAAATGAATTAAAGTGTTTGCTTTCATCCAGTCCTCTGGTCTACTAACTGAGCTGTTGCTAGTGACCTCTTCTGTCAGTCTCATTAGTATGCATGTATGCCGTCACGCCAACAATGTGATCTGCCGTCTTCCTTCCAGACTTGCTATTTATGCCTATGTTAGGGTCAACTAAAATTTGCATAGAAGACTTACTTCTTGTTCACCTGCAACTTCTGATTTTATAAATTCAAGCGGGTTTGAATTCTTAGTCTTTTTTTATTTTTTTTCCTTTGTATGTCTGCCAGCGATATGGGAATTTCAGAATAATCCATTTCTCTTTTAATACTGATCGCGATCTTTCAACAGGATTGACAGCCAAGCAAATTCGCTTTGCAGGAGGTAAGTCTTCTTGTTTCTCACCATAGTTGGATAGATATATGCATGAAACAGACTCCACATCACTATTACTCACTCAAAGGGAGAAGCTACACATTATTACATAACTGTTTTTAATTTTTAGAAACTTCAGTTTATATATAAGCAGTAGAAAATGAAAAAGTAATATATGTTAGATTATTTTATAGATTTACAAAAACTAATTCTTTTGTTCCTAAGCAAGTAAAATAAATTTTCTAAATTTATTTGACTAACATTATTAAAAGATGCTCCATCTTGAATAAAGTACAGCCATAGAACAGACAACTTTTGCAATATTGTGGTGAAGAAAATGGTGACTTACCTCATCAAAACAAATGACAGCTTGTCATGTATTATCTGTCAGCAAAAAAGAAAGACTCACATGACTTAATACTTTATATAGAAATGTCATGCAAATTTCTCTTCCAACGCAATCAATCATTGACTTGCCAACAATAGGTCAATTGGTTTTTCTTGTTCACTGTGGTGTGTGAAGGACAGTTTTGTGGTTTTTGACCAGTGGACTTTTGTTTTTATTTTTGCCTTTTCCAGAAATCTTCAACTACAAATATTTATTTCAATTTCATGTATTCTATTTTCAGTTTATGAACATCACTTTATAAGTGGGTGCTGAAAAATCCAGTCAAGAATAAATTTTTTAAAACTGATAACTTGATCAGATTTTTGGAAGTAGCTCAGACTGAGATTTTTTCAGCATTCTCTTGTATATGCTCTCCTCAGCAATTAGTCTAACTGGGGAAGAAATTATGACAAAATTATAGAATGAGAAAAAATAGAATGAAAATATTCTCACCCTTTCTTTAAAATATTTTTCTTGATGTTTAATAATTTTTTTTTCATTTGATTTTAAATCCTGTTGAGAAAAAACAAAACAAAACAAAATCATTAAAGATTGAAAATATCAAATATTTATACTTTATCTATATAAATAAATGTGAGTGTCAGTGTGTCACACTTTCTCAACATTACTCCTAGAGGTTGTATGTCAACATATAATATCATTTTGGAATCAGGCTGACTTTGTGAGCAAATTAAAAATATTCCAGGCCAGATCCAGACCAGCAATCCTGAAATTTTGGATTCCCAAGTTTTCATTACTGTGATTGTTTTTGGCGATTTTTTTGTTTCTTTACATGATTTTTTGTGACAAATTTTTTGTATGATAATAATTTTTATAACTTGGAAATAAATTTGGGAATAATTGAAATTAATTGCAAAATTCCACAAAAGTCACCCATGAAATAAAAATAATTGTTGATATGGCAAGTATGCACATCAACATACATCAAATTGTCTTTAAATTAAATGTTGCCCAAAGATTATTGTTAACTTTTAAAAGGTAAGCTTAAATATTAATGCAATACTTTAATGCAGTCATCAATTTTGAGTTCTTCTGTAGTTTATTGTTGCCTATCACATACAATAGCAGTATGCCTTGCAAAAAAAAAAAAAAAAAAATCCCCGCTAACAGAGGACCAGATTGCAATCAAAAGAGCCAAAGCTGCAATGAGGAAAAGAAGGTCCCGTGCAAATGAAAACCCAGATCAAATGGCAACCAGGAGAGCTCCCAATGCAAAGAATATGCACAGACTTAGGGACTCTCAAACTCCTGAACAAGCTGAAGACAATTAAGAGCCTTCTGCAGGAGCTAGCTTAATTGCTGCTTGAGCTAGTTTCTAATAAAAACATCAAACAGAATCTCTTTTTGACAATATTGATGTTTGTGGCTGATAAGGAAATGGCCACAAGCAAATACATTTGTATGCATAGAATTAGTCATTGAAATTATTTCATTACAAAACACATGAACCTGGAAACATTATGTAAGAATATTTTATTGCATCAGCCCAAAATGCAAATTACAAATTAGAGATACCAAAATCAAACAAATACGAAAATATCTGGGAAGTGTTTTAACAGAGGATGGAAAGTGTGACACTGAAATCCGAAGGTGCATTGGGATTGCAAAAGATGCATTCTAAAATCTAAGCAAAGTATTAAGAAACAGAAAAACTTCAATAGAAACAAAAAGAGTATTGAACTGTTACGTGATATCTGTCCTCCTGTATCGCAGTGAATGCTGGACAGTCTTCCATGGCTACTGCTATTTCAACAGCCATAGCATATGTTAAATTATTCACGGAAAGCAACCTTTTTTTGAATCTGTTCTGATTTTAATCCACATACCTGTCTGTCTGAGTATATTGTTGAGGTTGTCGCCAAATTTGCATGTTTGCAATAGCTTCTCCAGCTCCAACATGTATTTGTTTATACTCTTGCCTTCCTGCTGGTCTTGCTTATGAAACTGAAATCTCTCAGCAATAATGATAGGTTTTGGTGAAATGTGGTTTTGTAGAAGTTGAATAAACTTGTCGAATGACTTTGGTTTCTCTGGAACTGTTAAACTCCTCAACAGCCTGTACATTTTTCCTCCGATAAGACTCAGTAGAGCTGATATTTTCTTTGTTTCGTCTATTCCTCTCAGTTCCAAATACTGTTCCAGCCTTTTAATGTAGGCTTGCAAGTTTTCTAGTTTTGTCATAGGTTTTCATATATCCGATGTTTCCAGCCATTTTGTTTTTTTTTTTTTACACCACGTGCTTCGTGAATGGACTATTCTGTTAGTATAATTGTTCTCTGTGCATGAAATTTGTAATCCTGATCGGCAGTTGTTAGATACTTGGAGGGGATTGGCAAAAGAACAAAGGAAAAGAGGCCTGAATAAGAAATGTCCAAATGACTTGGTGGTCTAAATCCAATTGTTTAATTTCTCAATGTCAAAACCTAGCAGCATATTTTTAGTGGGGTTAGTTTCGTATGTTAGTAACAGTTATATAGGTTAGTTTTATATGTTAATGTCTAACACAAGGTATTGAATATATGAGCAATGACAAAGTTTTAAAGAAGATGGAAACAAAAAGGAAACTTATGCTTAACATCAGGAAGAGAGAGTTGAAATTTCTGGGGCACATAATGAGGAAAGAGGGCTTGGAAAATTTGATACTCACAGATTGAAGGCAATAGGGACAAAGGAAAACAATGCATAACATACTTAATGAGCTTGAGTAAATGGATAGTGGAACAGGGTTTAGAAGAAAGAACAAATTTATTAAGAGAAACAAAAAACATGAAAGTGTGGAGATCCATGATCACCTACGTCATGAGGAGATACAGCACATGAAGAAGAAGATGAAATCCTATTAATTCAAAGAATTATAAATATTTCTGTACATGAAAATGGAAGAGATGAGTGCAAGTGTGGCAACAAAAATCATTCATGATTAATGCCCAGGCAAAGAAGTAAATCCTTATTTTTAAAAACTGTTTTTATAAAGAGAATGTGCAGTTAGTGTAATGATTATCAGCACAGAAAATTTAATCCACAAATTAAGTTCAAATTCCAGCTTAGGCTGTTTCATTCATTTTCATCATAATGGCCTTGGGAACAACATGAATCCATCTCCACTTCTACCAGCTATGGGCTAAATAGCAGTGTAGACTTGGTTCTCTAGCCTTGGATAGTAGCAAGTACTGGAGAAGGACTACTCTGAATTTAAAAACCATGGAGAAGGCATAAGAAATCATTTCATTATTGTTTCCAAGAAATCATGGCAATTAATAGATAATCAAGAAAAGGAATCTGTAGAGAGCCATGATCGCCTACATCCTGGAGGAAGACGGACTACTCTGAATTCCAAACTGTGGAGAAAGCAATAGAAAAATCACTCCACTATGTTTATGTAGTTTGAATGAAAGGAAGAAGAAAAAATGGAATTTTTCTTACTTTGTGATGGGTAAGAAGAATAACTGGTGACAAATGATTTCTTTTATAGAGAGACTTTATGGCAAACTGAGGAAAAAGACGAATTATGGGAAGGAGGAAAACAGGCAGTAAAACTCAACTGAAAATAGGTGTCAATGATTTTATTTGCTTTGGCAAACTTCACAAATCAATGTGCTAATCATGAGGGAAAAAATGGACATATGAGAAAGGTTGTAAGAGACAGAGGAAGGAGATTTGAGAATAAGGAAGGATGAGAGAGATCCTGGGAAAAGCAGAGGAGATTCGAACTACCAAGCCCCACTTACTTCGCATAGATACAACCACTCTTGACCTCTTTTTTTTCATTTTTAAGCTTTCAAACCAGTTTCTCAAGAAAGCAATCTGTAAAGAGCTATGATCATCTACATCTTGAAGGTTTTTTTATTGATTTGTTTTTTATGACTTATCAACCCTTTGAAGGTTATTTAAAACCAGAAAATATTTTTATATTGTAAGAATTATTATTTTTTTGAGATAACAATTTAGTGATATAAGTTTTACTAATTAACCCATAGCTGTGGGAGAAGAGGTGGCTTTATACCTACATCCTGAAGGGATATGGCATTAAAAATTGCTATATGCCCTCAAAAAATTATGTCCTCTACTCCGTTAACAATTTAAGCTCTTATTAATTTAATTTTTCTACATTCTCCTTCAGTTTACATATTATTTTCAAATATTTATGCAACATTAAATAACAATTCTGTTTACCTGCAAAGCGAGGATCCTTTCTGATTTTTCAATTTCTTTTCCATCTAGAAACTGAAAAAAATTGAAAGATTCAGATAAGCCACTTGGTTTTCATTAAATCTCATCTTTCAATTTTCAAGCTTTTCTTTTAAACCAGGTAAAGTTATGAGCACATTACAAAATTCTTCTTATTCAAAACAACTGTTTAGACCATCTCCAAGCTGAACTGTTGGGTTTGGGGTTTTGGTTTGGTTTGTTTAATGGCACATCAATTCCTTATGAGTCATTTAATGCCAAAATGTTATTTTCTTATGACCTTTGGTTTACTTTTATTTGTTTTACACCATATCAACTCTTTGGGTCATTTAATGCTGAATGAGCTTTGGTAAAAAATTAATAATTTTTTTTTTCCAATAATGTATTGCAGGTGATTTTTAATATTTCTTTTTTAATATGAAAATGTATTGTTGTTAATTTTTCCAAATGTATTTTTATATTTTCATGTTTTGACCTCAGTTTGAGGGTTTACTATTTGCCCATAACTTGGACCCTAACAGGTGCTACCACTCTGGGTTAGGGTGGACCTGGGAACAACAGAAATTAAGTTCCTCAAAACCTCCGAACTAGAGGCCTTGCTGTTGGATCTAGTTTATCGTCATACCCAGGACAAGAACTTTTGGGTAAGGGTGTGTATAAAGCATACTTAACCACAAAATTGTACATCTTTTATTCAATCCCCAGAACAAAGAATACAATGCTCTATGAAGGCTATGTATCACTTATTTTTTATGAAGCATGTGTTAAATATGGCAAAATGTGGCAATCCTTTTAAAACATTTATCAGTTAACATGAGAAATATTTAAGTTTCTAACAGTACTAATAATTTAAAGATATGAGAGGTGCATAATTCGTAATGGATTATTGAATTATTATTACATGATTATGATTGGTCCAGCAAAATGGATACTCTTGGTCTAGATTCTAGCTGGCATTTTTCAGTCAACTGACTGATGATTAAAACATCTTTTTCATAATACTTAGTAGGTTTATAAATTTATTTTTAATTCATTTCAAGTCAACTGTGATTGGCTAAAAAATATCTTTTCATATCATGTGATATATTTATTATATTTGTGCCAATTTTTATGTTTTGCAGCTTCCATTAGAGCCTACTGAACTGTTATAAATTGTCTGATCCTATTTTGATCCAACTACCACAATCATTTGACCACATTAAACAATTTGCATATCACCACAAATCTTTAATCTTTCATCAATTTAAAAATTTCTCTCATTTATACAAATAGAATTTGTTCAAACTCGCTCATATTTGCCTTTATTTCATTAGCCACAAGTCAAAACTTAATTTTTAATTCTAGACTATTCCACCCTCCATTTCATGCTAGACCATTTTGCATTATCTGTAAATTAATATTAAAATCAGGTCATAACAAAAGATAAACTATTTTTATATTTTATATAAAATGTGAAAATTAATCTCAATCTCTTTAACTAAATGAATATTTAAGCATTTTACTCTGCATGAAAAATATGTAAAGAATGAAAACTCACTTTAAGATTTGGTAAGGTAGCAATGACATAATCTCGGTAACCTTCAAATTGTGTACATGGATTTCCTGTCAAAAATCTGTAGAATGATAAACATTTTGAAATGATTTTATTACTAAAAATATATCAGAATAAAAATCTATATTAAACTTGAACACAATATAAAAAATTTTATGTAACTTTGTAAACAAGAGATATACTTATATGGATTTACAGTTGGAGAGAAAATTTTAATAATTCTTCAGTCAATTTTTAAAAAAATTTAAATTGGGTGAAAAATTAAGAGCTATCTTCTTTAGTATGTTAACTAGTTGGCTTATGTGGCACATTACAAAATTCTCTTAATAAAAAGTTTTAATTCTCTGGAAGGCTTCAAAGTCATTTTCACCAGTTCTTTACTGAGAGAAAAAAGCAAGTAATAGGAGGATGGGATTATCAAGTTGATTGAAAGATGGCAGAAGATCGTGTGACAAAACTGTAAACACAAGGTGCGATAGGTAAATTGTCACCATTTTGTATTTTTAATTTTGTGTATGCAAATCGTTTGTTTTTGATTTTGTTGACAGTATAGTATAGTAGGGTCAGATGTGCACCATCTGTGAGAAAAAGACGCAATTCACTCTGCCAGAAATTTGGAAGCGGCATGCGGTACTACTTAGTATTTGTGACAGAAGCTCCAATACAAACATTTCAGAGTGTTTGGGTGTCAATCTAAGAACAGTGCAGAGGATTTGGAAAAAGTTAGATGAGTCTAATGGTGATTATGTAGGTATGGCAGCTCGGAAAACTCACTCTGAAAAAGAACTCCTGAATTTGCTGGTGAGGGGCTCAGACTCAAAACAGAGGCCTACATTAAGTGCCTTGAGGAGGTAGTGCTGCACTAGGTCAAGAGGGTGACTGCTGGAAGACCCTATGACTTGCAACAGGACTCTGCACCATGTCACATAAACAGGAGAACCCAATAATGCCTGTCAGACAATTTCTGGGACCACATCACCCCTTATATCTGACCACCTAACTCCCCAGATTGCAACCCCCTTGATTATTTGTGGGGTGCAGTTGAGCAAGAGACCAACAAAACTACTTGTAACACCAAAGATGAACTGAAGGCAAGGATTATGGCAGCATCAACCAACACAAACAAGGAGATCATCTAGAAGAGATGCAGGAGATTCTGAAGTTGTCTGGAGGCTGTGGTTGAAGCCAATGGTGATTTTATTGAATAAATTTAATCTTTCATATTTTCAAGATATTTTTGTGTAATTTTGGTAAATATATCTGTTAAAACAAGATGTCAGTGTTATTTTCATTTTTGCATAATTTAGATGACAATTTATTTATTGGACCCTGTATGTAGTTCAATGACATTTTCCTTATTATACATTTTTGTATTTTCCAGAAAGCAAAATATTTAGGCACAAAAATAAAAAAGGTATACATATATAAGGTTTCTCTGGAAAGCATCTAGCCATTTAATATAAATGAAAGAAAGAGAAAAAAAAGCCTATCTAGGGCAATGTTGCCTTAGTTCACTTCAAAGTACTCCCCTTTGGATTTCATACACTTATTCAAGTATCCCTTCCACTTTTGCAAAGTCCTCTTTTGGGATCATCATCAGGTGCTTTGTCCCATTTTTCTTTATCATAACCATAATCTAAAATTTCCTTTCTAATGTTACCTTTTTAAAAAAAACAGAAAGGGCTAAATCTGCACTTTAGCGGGCTGGCAAATCAGGGTGATGCGATGTTTTGTCCAAATTTACTCCAATAGACATGAAGAATAGGCAGGTATATTGTCATTATGAGTGCAATAGTAACAGTACATACTGTCACTTATTGGTGTCTCGTTACCGATTAGGTAAGCTGATGGAAAAATGTCTCTTCATGTCTGTGCAGTTAGGCTAACTGAGATTCAGTCAGTTATGTGCCATGCGTGATACACGCTTTGGCGATTGTGTATCTTTCAATACATGACTGACGAGGCAGATTTTTTCCAGCAGTAGGTTGCCATTTCTTTCTGTAGTAGACCAATTGCTATCCAAGGTTATAGAACACAGTCTGTCTTGATATTTACCTATAGCTGGGGCGGAGAAGAAGAGGATCCGTACCTTTCCCAAGAGTATTAGCAGGTAAGTGAATGTAATGGATTCAGCTGGAATTTGGACCCGGCTCTCCGGTTCCTCAATCCGAGCTGCTATCCATTACGCCACCGATGCCTCCTAAGATTAGTTACCAAATTACATCAAGGTTGGTTTTTAAGATATTCAAAATGGCTGGGTGCTTTCTGGACAGACCTCATAATCATTTATATTACATGTGCCAGAGATTTAATTTTACATACAGTTCATTGAAATGATACAGATCTTTGAGACATTTGATGCTGGTCAATTCACCAATGAAATTCACTGTTAGATCAAGTTTTCGGAGAGATTCACAGCCTGAAAACAGAATTATTAATCTGAGATAAAATAAATAATGATAAATGAAAAGAGTTTTCCATTCAATATATATACAAATGCAAAAGTGCAAAAACAGGATTTTATAAAAACTATCCCCAAACAAACCTTCAAGATTTTCAATCCTCTCAATATTATTCAAGGCCAAATTTAAATAATCCAATTTCTTGAGCCTGCTCACATTTTCTGAAACATAAAATGGATCAAATTAAATCTTAATTTCAATTTCGGGAAGATAAAAATGTGAATATTTGTCTTTATTTTCATTTCTTTAAGTATTTTAACAAAACTGCATCAATGATAAAAATGTGGATAATCCTTCACTTATGCGGCGTAAAATAAACTACCATTCCTTGAACAGCATAAAATCGATAAAACCAAGGTATATACATTTATTAGAATTAAACATTTATAAAATTGAAACATTTAAATATATAAAATGATAGCAAAGAATGAATAATCACTGGCACTTCAACAATATTTACATGATTTGCAATACCAGCAATAACTATCCGTTGCATCTTGACAGGCATTTAGCCCAAATATACAATTGCACTGGTGTTGTGCCATAGTACCTATTCTTTGGTAATGGACTCTCCCATAGATAATAAGTAGGAGTGGCAAGTCTGGCAGAACGGTGTTGAGAACGTCAGTCTGGAGTTCACTCCTCCGTCTTTTTCCGACTTTTTTTTTGACCGGTCGGTTTGGATTTTTTGTGATTGTGTGTTTTTGTTTTGAAGTGCGACGAACTTGTTTTGACCCACGAGGAATTGCTGCAAATACTTGACGAACTTAATTCGACCCACCAAGTCTTTCTGTTAAGTTTTTCTTTTTTCTTTCTTTTTTTTTTCTTTTCTTTGTTTTAAATTATTTTTCTGGGCTTCGGCCCATATTTTTAATTTTTTATTTTTTTTTAGTTCGGTTTGACAAAGTTTTACCGGACGACTGCTTTTTATTTCTGTTTATTTCTTTTCAGTGTTTGTTTAGTACAGTTTAAGAAAAGAGAAAAAGAAAGCTTTTTTTTTTTATTTTATACCTTCCTTCTTATTTATTTAATTAGCGACTTCAGTCGCATTCTTTCTTTTTTTGGTTTGACTAGTTTGTTTTTCTTTTGCTTTTAATTTATTTTCTTTAGCGGTTTCGGCCGCAAACCTTTATTTTTTTTCTTTTCTTTTCTTTTTTCTTTTGGCACATTTTTTGAATTTTTGGAAAAAAAAAAAAAAAGAGAGGAGTTTCTGTTTTTTTTAATTTTCGGCTGCCTTTGGGCGCCATTTTTATTTTTTTAAAAAAAGTCTTACCTGTTTATTTATTTTCTTTCAGTTTATCTAGTTTGTCTTTTATTTTACTTTTAGTTTATTTTTAAATTTTAATTTCCTGGGTTATCCAGGCTTTCTTTTTGTTTAATTTTTTTTTGCCTTTTCCCAACTCCTCTCCCCGTGTTGTTGTAAAAATTTTTAGAGACCCACAAGTGGTAGTCTCCATGCTCCCTTCAACATGGCCAATGAAGCCAGTCGGTCTAATGTCAAAAAAGACCTCTTTGGGGCGGCTGCTAATGCTGACCCCCCAGATAAATCTAAATCTGTTAAGAAACGGGCAAATGCTGCCCCTAATTTAGACGAAAATTCAAAGGAGTCTAGTGGCTCCAAAAAGGAGAGACCAAGCAGGTCTCAAGTCAAAAGGAAGAGGTGCCAAGGAGGCACAATCTAAGACTGCTGAGGAGTTGCCCTCCTGTTGGAAGTCCCCACCAAGTTGTATTTTGAACATGGCGGATTTCTTGGAAAAGGCGAAAAATTATGCCCATCTTGTAAATAAAGATGGGCTGGTCAAAAAGTTGTCCAAGAGCTCGATGTGTTACATTAAAGAGAATGGTGTCCGTTTTCGTGGTCGACAAGAAAACACGCAAGATTTGTCTCTCCACGAAAGACATAGTGATTAAATCACTTTTGTCCCTGGGGATAAAACCCCAAAGAGTAATCAAAGGTACTGTTTTTTTCATGTGGGACATTCTGCTACCCACACCAGAGGATTGCCTGGCCATGGCTAAGAAAGAACTCATAACTAAAGACCTTATTTTAAGGACTGAGTATGAGGGCCGGAGAAGGACCAGGGTGGCCGTTTTTGAGGTTCCTCCTCAAATTTCAGGAGAGCACCTGGCTGCATTTTTTATGCAGTACGGCCAAATTTTAGGGGCTCTCTCTGACAATTTGAACGGGGGATGGACTTTTGATATTATGCTCGACCAGAAGGTCTTCAAGTCCGTCCCCAACTGTTTGGTGTTTGGCGACTGGAAAATGCCGGTCATTGTGACCAGTAGGAAACCTACTTGCTGGAGGTGTGGAGAAACTGGTCACCTTTCCTCCTCCTGCCCAGGGAAGAAGGCCCCTGGAGTTCCGGTCGCAGGCGACCAAAATACCCCTTTGGTCGAGAAGGTAAAATCTGCGGTGCCTGTAGTGGGCCTAGCTGTGAGGCGGACCGGTGCGGAAAATCCCTCGGTTGGGTCCGTACCCACATTACCCCCTAAACCGACGCCTTCCACAAGTGTGGATAAGGAAAAGAATGAGGGGAATGGCGCCTCGTAGTTAGGGGCAAAGGGAAGACCCAAACAGCGGTTCCTCAGTCCCATCATGACCCCAGGGACATTAACACCTACAGCCCCATTCCCTCTACCAGCTCTGAGGGCGATGCCTCGGCGTCTTATCGGGAGAATGCTACGGTTACCCAGAAATTAAATGAACCAAGCTGGGAAAAGATATTGGACCTGATGCTGAAAGAAAAATTGGAGACGAAATGCGGGAAAAATCAAAAATCGCTGGGGGCACCGGGCCCCCTATCCTCTGCCCCGTTTTCCCCTTCTTCATCTAAATCTTTCACTAAGCCACCTCTGCCCAAATCTGTTTCAAATTCTCCAGCTAAGTCACTTCATTCTTCAAAACCATCGCCGGTGAGGACGCCTTCTGGGTGGACTCCCTCAACTACTCCGAATGTCACACCCATGTCAACACCTATGCAATCTCCTAATAAGAAAAGATTCAGAAGCCCGGATTCACAAAACAGTCACCGATAAAAAGAAAAAAAGATCAAACCACCATATCTACCAGGGGAAGACGTCTGCCGCGTATCCGGGACCAGGCAGAAAGGGTATTCGGGCAGACGAAAACCCGAAGGACTTAAAAGTTCTTTGAATTTTAAATTGATAAATGGCGTAGAGGTAGAAAAGCCCGAAAATTTCCCTTCTGCTAGAAGAATTCTGACAGTCATAAGAACTGGCCCGGCACGCGGGAGATTTGGGGCATGATAGAGGAGGCCCAGTCGTCTCTAAAAATGGTGCCCCAGCTGCCTACTTACTCGACCCAGAAATGAATGAAGGAAATGAAAAACTGAAAGGGAGGGTCCCCGTTTTCGTTAACCCATCCCTTTATAGGGCGCTTAAATTAATTTACCCTTCGGACATTGGCGGCTTTGTCGCAAGATGATACTATCGAGAGTGAGATGGCGTCTGGATCTATGTGACGAGCTGTCGGTGTCCTCACCCCAGCCATGTTCTATCCTGAAGGGCAACCCTAATCGGTTTCACAATGGCACTCTGGTTAGCTAGTTTGAATGTCCGGGGCCTGAGGTCCGAGTCTACTTTTGCGAGGCTCATTCGTGACCTTCAGCGCCTCGGGGTGAATGTATGTTGTATACAAGAGACCCGGTTTTCTTCTCATGATTGTGAGGACATCTAAGGGGTTCGCCCTTTATTCAGCATGTTTTGATGGTTGTTCGAGGGGTGTCTCTTGGCTAGTGAGCAGGTCTTTGAAGGCTGCATGTACCCTTGTCTTTGCGGATCCGGCGGGCAGACTTTGCGTGTTGGATGTTACCATAAAGGATAAGGTTCTATGTCTCATTGGGGTTTATGCGCCCAATACCCATTCCGAGCGCCTGCTTTTGTTTCGCAGATCGCGCCGTTCTTGACGACGCCTCGTCCGGGTTTTTAGCGGGGATTGGAATGCCGTCCTTGACCCCGATATAGATCGTATAGGGCAAAAACAAGGTACTAACAACCCGGATATGAAACCATTTCGGGACTTTATTGATGGGTTTGATCTCGTTGATAAGTTCCGAATGAACACCCTTGGGAGGTAGTATGGACTTGGACAACTAGTGGCAACTCGGCTCCTGGCTCGCTTGCGAGCTACCTGGACCGAGTCTTAGTTAGGAGAGTCGATGTAGGGCTCTTAGGGTGTCCAAGTTTCCATTGCATAGTTTATACGGATCATAGGCTTGATCGGGTCCGTGTAAACTTAGATAAACCTAAGTTAGGTTGGCTGGTTACTGAAATTGAACTGTTCACTTTTTTGGTGAGCAGTGTTTCCAGGACCAGCTGTTACTAATGATACAAAGGGAATTGATGGGAGCGGTTGTGGGAAATGCCTGGTGGGGCAATTTAAAATCTAAAATTCGAACGTTTGCTGCCGATTTTAGTTGTCGACTCAATCTAGATAGATTAGCGGCGTAAACGGCTTTAGAAGATAAAGTTGATCGGGCGGTGAAATCCCGTGTTAGTGGGGATATAGCTTTAGCTAAGGCAGAGTTGTCCTCCTTGCTTATCAAGAAGGATCAAGCTCTGGTAGTTAGGGCTAGGTTAAAAAGAATGTCTTCTGAGGCTACAAATATGGCCGCTGAACTGCGTGCAGAGGAGAATCGAAACGCGCCTAGGCGACATATAGCGTGCATCACATTACCGGATAAGTTGACCGTGACTACAAACACGGGCATATGTGAGGTGTTTCGGGATTACTTTCAGGATCTTTTCACCAGGGAGCCCGGTCTGAGCTCTGCTCAGTTCGACGCCTATTTAGCTGACTTTCCCTGCCTCTCGGCAGCTGAAGCGGCTAGGTGCGAGGGTCCCATAACAGAGTCGGAAATCTGGGAAGCACTGAAGCAGGTTGGCCTGGATAAGTCTCCGGGATTAGATGGTCTTCCCTACGAAGTTTACTTGAGGTTGTCGCCCGTTTTTGTTCCTTTGCTGGAACTGATTTTCAACCACTGGATGAAGCAGGGGTCTTTACCTCAACGCTTCACCAGGGGTGTGATCAAGTTGCTGCGTAAGGACAAGGACGGTGGGGATGGGTTAGGAACTTTCGCCCTTTAACGATGTTAAATACTGACTTAAAGATTTTGGCGAAGATCTTAGCCAACCGTTT